CATTTTTTGCTCGAAACTTTCTTCTAATCACTATGGTGGTATTCCCGAACGATTATCTCGCAAATTTAATTTTTCGAAAATTTTTCCAAAAACTTTTTGAGTGTAGCTCAGCATCCGCTGGACCAATCAAAAAGTGTGCCATACATTTTTTGCTCGAAACTTTTTCCCTATTTTTTTGGCGGTATTCCCGAGACATTATCTCGCAAATTTAATTTTTCGAAAATTTTTCCAAAATCTTTTTGAGTGTAGCTCAGCATCCGCTGGACCAATCAAAAAGTGTGCCATACATTTTTTGCTCGAAACTTTCTTCTAATCACTATGGTGGTATTCCCGAACGATTATCTCGCAAATTTAATTTTTCGAAAATTTTTCCAAAAACTTTTTGAGTGTAGCTCAGCATCCGCTGGACCAATCAAAAAGTGTGCCATACATTTTTTGTTCGAAACTTTTTCCCTATTTTTTTGGCGGTATTCCCGAGACATTATCTCTCAAATTTAATTTTTCTAAATTGTTTCCAAATTTGTTTTCTAGTGTAGCTCAGCATCCGCTGGACCAATCAAAAAGTGCGCTATACATTTTTTGTTCGCTACTTTTTGCTAAAGACTTTAGCGGTATTCCCGATCAATTATCTCGCAAATTTAATTTTTCGAAAATTTTCAAAAAATTTATCTGAGTGTAGCTCAGCATCCGCTGGACCAATCAAAAAGTGCGCCATACATTTTTTGTTCAGAACTTTCTTCTAATCACTATGGTGGTATTCCCGAACGATTATCTCGCAAATTTAATTTTTCGAAAATTTTTCCAAAAACTTTTTGAGTGTAGCTCAGCATCCGCTGGACCAATCAAAAAGTGTGCCATACATTTTTTGCTCGAAACTTTTTCCCTATTTTTTTGGCGGTATTCCCGAGACATTATCTCGCAAATTTAATTTTTCGAAAATTTTTCCAAAATCTTTTTGAGTGTAGCTCAGCATCCGCTGGACCAATCAAAAAGTGTGCCATACATTTTTTGTTCGAAACTTTTTCCCTATTTTTTTGGCGGTATTCCCGAGACATTATCTCGCAAATTTAATTTTTCGAAAATTTTTCCAAATTTGTTTTCTAGTGTAGCTCAGCATCCGCTGGACCAATCAAAAAGTGTGCTATACATTTTTTGTTCGCTACTTTTTGCTAAAGACTTTGGCGGTATTCCGGAACGATTACCTCTCAAATTTAATTTTTCTAAATTTTTTCCAAATTTGTTTTCTAGTGTAGCTCAGCATCCGCTGGACCAATCAAAAAGTGCGCTATACATTTTTTGTTCGCTACTTTTTGCTAAAGACTTTAGCGGTATTCCCGATCAATTATCTCGCAAATTTAATTTTTCGAAAATTTTCAAAAAATTTATCTGAGTGTAGCTCAGCATCCGCTGGACCAATCAAAAAGTGCGCCATACATTTTTTGTTCAGAACTTTCTTCTAATCACTATGGTGGTATTCCCGAACGATTATCTCGCAAATTTAATTTTTCGAAAATTTTTCCAAAAACTTTTTGAGTGTAGCTCAGCATCCGCTGGACCAATCAAAAAGTGTGCCATACATTTTTTGCTCAAAACTTTTTCCCTATTTTTTTGGCGGTATTCCCGAGACATTATCTCGCAAATTTAATTTTTCGAAAATTTTTCCAAAATCTTTTTGAGTGTAGCTCAGCATCCGCTGGACCAATCAAAAAGTGTGCCATACATTTTTTGCTCGAAACTTTTTCCCTATTTTTTTGGCGGTATTCCCGAGACATTATCTCGCAAATTTAATTTTTCGAAAATTTTTCCAAAATCTTTTTGAGTGTAGCTCAGCATCCGCTGGACCAATCAAAAAGTGTGCCATACATTTTTTGCTCGAAACTTTTTCCCTATTTTTTTGGCGGTATTCCCGAGACATTATCTCGCAAATTTAATTTTTCGAAAATTTTTCCAAATTTGTTTTCTAGTGTAGCTCAGCATCCGCTGGACCAATCAAAAAGTGTGCTATACATTTTTTGTTCGCTACTTTTTGCTAAAGACTTTGGCGGTATTCCGGAACGATTATCTCGCAAATTTAATTTTTCGAAAATTTTTCCAAAAACTTTTTGAGTGTAGCTCAGCATCCGCTGGACCAATCAAAAAGTGCGCTATACATTTTTTGTTCGCTACTTTTTCCCTATTTTTTTGGCGGTATTCCCGAGACATTATCTCTCAAATTTAATTTTTCTAAATTTTTTCCAAATTTGTTTTCTAGTGTAGCTCAGCATCCGCTGGACCAATCAAAAAGTGCGCTATACATTTTTTGTTCGCTACTTTTTGCTAAAGACTTTAGCGGTATTCCCGATCAATTATCTCGCAAATTAAATTTTTCGAAAATTTTCAAAAAATTTATCTGAGTGTAGCTCAGCATCCGCTGGACCAATCAAAAAGTGCGCCATACATTTTTTGTTCAGAACTTTCTTCTAATCACTATGGTGGTATTCCCGAACGATTATCTCGCAAATTTAATTTTTCGAAAATTTTTCCAAAAACTTTTTGAGTGTAGCTCAGCATCCGCTGGACCAATCAAAAAGTGTGCCATACATTTTTTGCTCGAAACTTTTTCCCTATTTTTTTGGCGGTATTCCCGAGACATTATCTCTCAAATTTAATTTTTCTAAATTTTTTCCAAAATCTTTTTGAGTGTAGCTCAGCATCCGCTGGACCAATCAAAAAGTGTGCCATACATTTTTTGCTCGAAACTTTTTCCCTATTTTTTTGGCGGTATTCCCGAGACATTATCTCGCAAATTTAATTTTTCGAAAATTTTTCCAAAATCTTTTTGAGTGTAGCTCAGCATCCGCTGGACCAATCAAAAAGTGTGCCATACATTTTTTGCTCGAAACTTTTTCCCTATTTTTTTGGCGGTATTCCCGAGACATTATCTCGCAAATTTAATTTTTCGAAAATTTTTCCAAATTTGTTTTCTAGTGTAGCTCAGCATCCGCTGGACCAATCAAAAAGTGTGCTATACATTTTTTGTTCGCTACTTTTTGCTAAAGACTTTGGCGGTATTCCGGAACGATTACCTCTCAAATTTAATTTTTCTAAATTTTTTCCAAATTTGTTTTCTAGTGTAGCTCAGCATCCGCTGGACCAATCAAAAAGTGCGCTATACATTTTTTGTTCGCTACTTTTTGCTAAAGACTTTGGCGGTATTCCCGAGACATTATCTCGCAAATTTAATTTTTCGAAAATTTTTCCAAAATCTTTTTGAGTGTAGCTCAGCATCCGCTGGACCAATCAAAAAGTGTGCCATACATTTTTTGCTCGAAACTTTTTCCCTATTTTTTTGGCGGTATTCCCGAGACATTATCTCGCAAATTTAATTTTTCGAAAATTTTTACAAATTTGTTTTCTAGTGTAGCTCAGCATCCGCTGGACCAATCAAAAAGTGTGCTATACATTTTTTGTTCGCTACTTTTTGCTAAAGACTTTGGCGGTATTCCGGAACGATTACCTCTCAAATTTAATTTTTCTAAATTTTTTCCAAATTTGTTTTCTAGTGTAGCTCAGCATCCGCTGGACCAATCAAAAAGTGCGCTATACATTTTTTGTTCGCCACTTTTTTTTTTTTTGTTCGAAACTTTTTGTTTATTTTTGCTTCCTCGTGGAGGAAGCTTTGTAGTCCTTTCGTTTGTAAAACTTTTCAAAGTGGCGAAAACAAATTTTTTTCTTTATAGAAACATGTTATATGAGATCCTGATCAATTGTCCGGATGTATGTATGTGTGTGTGGGTGTGTGTGTGTGGATCCCTTTTTTGTTTAGAAGATAACTTTAACAGGTTTTAATGGATTTAGATAAAATTTAGTAGGCTCATTTATCATATTAATATCTCAAATCTGACCAAAGGATTTTGAAAAATACTCCAAAAAAAAATTTTATGGTCTTTTTTCAAAAAATTTTTTTTTAATCGAAAAAATTTTTAAATAGAAAAATTTAAGGTTATATAATAATAAAATCGTATTCTTTACGTCAAGACGAATCGATCGATATATATATAAAGTATTCATTTGAGGTAAATTTAAAGAATTAATGAAAGTTAAAAAATCAAAAATTCACATTTTGTTTATAAAATTTTGTGATTTTTTAAATTGAAGTTTATATATGAAATAATTGTATTCCTTACGTCAAGCGAATCGATCGATATATATAAACTATACATTTGAGGTAAATTTAAAGAATTAATTTAAGTTATAAAATCAAAAATTCACATTTTGTCAATAAAATTTTGCTTTCTCCACGAGGAAGCAAATTTTTTTGCTGATCGTAAAGAGGAAGCAAAATGTTCATGTAATGAACATCTGAATTTACAACTTGTTTTTGTTTAATTTTGTAAAAAGTGTTTTAATTAAAATAATTTTTAATTGAATTAAATTTTGAAAAATTAATTTTTTTTCAGAATGGGTTTAAAAAATAAATTTACAATTTTTTTTTAATTAAAATTAGATAAACGGATTTTTATTCGACAGAAAACAGTTTTCGTTTTTTTCCTCCTAGTTTCAATTGTTTAAAAATTTAAAAAGTATCTCCTATTTTTCTTATACAAGTTTTATAATACATAATACTTATCAATTATGGCTTTCATAATATTATATTTAAAAAAAAAAAATGCATTCTTTTTTGAGGCGACAGACAATTCACAAAAATGCGAAAAATTAATAATTTCATAATAATAATAATAATAATAATATTAAACTAACTAAATTTAATTTTCTAATGTTTAAAATGAAAAATTAAATCTAAGAACTTTATTAAACGTTGAGAATTTTTGTTCTTCTTTTTTAATTTAATAATATTTAACCAAAAAAAAAAAATTTTTAATTCAGTAAATTAATTTCTTTTAATTGACAATAATATTAGTTAATTAAATAATATTAATTAGTACATTTAAGTAAAAATTCTAATTTACTGAATTAAATGAACAACTTTTTTTTTGGAATTATACTTTTTAAAAATCAAAATATAATTATATTCGTTCTGATTTTCAAAGAAAAGATTTTTTTTTTTCAAAGAAAAGATTTTTTTTTTTTCAAAGAAAAGATTTTTTTTCAAAGAAAAGATTTTTTTTCAAAGAAAAATTTTTCTTTTTGAAAAAAAATTTCCTTTTTTAAAAGAAACAATTTTTTAAAATGATTTTTTCTTTTTTAAATTAAACAAATTTTCTTTAAAAAAAAATTATCTTCATTTTTTTGTTATGTTTTTTTTTTTTTTTGAATTATTTAACTATTTCGGGATCTGTTTTTGATTCATCAAGTTCTTTATAATTTTCGGGTATTTGATGAGGGCCGGGAGTTAAATCATTTGCTTTTTCTTGAACTTCTTTAAAGGATGCTTTAATATTGTCGAGAGCTGCGCCAAGACCACTTTTTATTTGATTAAATTCTTGTGTGACAAGAGATAATCGTCCTAAAAGATAATTTAAATTTTCATCCACTTCTGACATTCTCTTTGTTATTTCTCCCACCTGAAAATGTGAAAATTATTTATTTTTTATTTATTAATTTAATTTATTTTTTTATTTATTTATTACATTTTTTTTTAATTTTATATATAAAATTTTTATTTTTTGTAAATTTAAAAATACTGAATTTTTTATTAAAAATAAAAAAATAATTTTTTGAAATTATAATTGAATTTTTAATATAGTTAAAATTAAATTTTGGAAAAATTTTCCAATTTTTTTTTTTTACATTATTGTTTTTTATTTTTTTTTCTTGATATTTTAAATTCGAAAAAAAAAATTCTCACCTTATTTTTCATTCCCCCCATTGTCGATGTGGTACCATTAACATAAACTTCATTTTGTTCATGTAATTTATCGAGTGATTTAGCACTTTCCATCATTTGTTGATACATAACATTAATTTGTCTCCATACCTAAAATTAATTTTAAAAACATAGAAAAAAAAGAATTTTCACAATTTTTATTTTTTTCTATTTAATTAATAAATACAAAAAAAATAATTATTATTAAGAAAAATAATGATAATATAATTATAATAATATTCTATTATTTATATTATATATTATATATTATATAATATTTATATGATAATAATATTTATATTATTATTATTATTATTATTATTATTATTATTATTATTATTATTATTATTTTTGTTATTAAAGAGTTGTATCTTATTATTTTTTTTTCGAAATTTATTACAATCTCATTGTTCAATTTTTTAATTATATTTATTTTAAAATTAAAATAGTTAAATTAACTCGTTGATTTCGAGGAAATTGATTAATTTTACCATTTATTGTTATTAATTGTCAGGAGCGTAGAAACCGGAAGGGAATATAAATTCCCCCCTTTGGAAAGAAAATAATTTTTATTCCCACGCCCTCCCCGCATCAAAAATAATAATCTCCAATCAATTTTAATTCGACTGAAGTGAAGTTTTATAAAATATTTAATAATAAATAAATTTAAAAAAATTAAATATATAAACTTAATAAAAATTAAACTTTATAAAAATTTATATTAAATATAAATATATATTTTATTTATAATAAAAAAAAAAAATTATTGAAAAAGTAGAAAAAAATTATTTTTTTTTAAGAAAATAATTTCGTTTCTTTCAATTTTCAAATTTTTTAGAAAAAAAATTGGAAGACACTCCACAACCTTTTTATTTCGTTTTTTTTTTTTTTTTTTTAAATTTTGGTTTTTTAAAAAAAAGAATTTTTTTTTCGAAATAAAAATTTTATTTACCTGATTCATTTGTTGTTCCATTTTTGTTGTTAAATTAGATAAAGCATCATTTTGATTATCCATTATATCATTTGAAATTCCATCAAATCGTGTATTCATTGTATTATTAATATTTGCACTTTGGGCTTTTAATAAATCGCCAACTTCCAATAATATTTGATGTACGCCATATTCAACACGTTTTTTTGTATCTAAAACATGATCGGCCATTGAGACCATTACCGATTGTCCTTTTTCTAAATCCTGTAATTCTTGTTTCATTCGATCAGCATTAGCGCCCATATCCATTCTAAAAAAAAAAAATTTTTTTTTTGTTACAAAAAATTTTTCTTTGCGAAACACGAAATTAATTAAATAATTTTTTAAATTAATTAATTAAAATATTTAAATAGTATTTTCAATTAATTAAAAAAAATTTTGAAATTAATTAATTAAAATATTTAATTATTATTTTCAATTAATTAATTAATATATTTGATTAATTGAAATATTTAATTATTATTTTTAATTAATTAATTAATTAATTAATATATTTCATTAATTGAAATATTTAATTATTATTTTTAATTAATTAAATATTTAGATTAATTTATTTCTTTTTTTAGAATATAAACTTTAATAAAAGAAAAAAACAAATTATTTTAATTCTAATTTTTTGGAATTATTTGTTTTAACGAATTTATTTTAAATAATTTTATTTTTTTTTGCTGATGGATAAAATATTGAAAAAAATTGGAAATTTTTTTGAAATTCTTGTTTGAATTTTTTTTTTTTTTTTTTTTCTATGAAAATTACCGAAGATTGCTGATTACATATTTAATGTCTTCTTTGCTTTCAACAATTTTACTCTCGAGTCCATCGTTTCCACGAGTCACGTAATCCCTCAGGACATGTTTTGTATCTTGTAGCGCCATTTGTGTTTCATTATGCAGTGAATGCAACTCTGAAATTCTTAAAAATCTCATTAATCTCATTAAAGTTCATATTAATTACTAATTAATTATTAATAATTAATAATCAATAATCAATTATTAATAATTAATTATTTCTTTGGTATTGAATTTTTTTTAATACCATTTATTTATTTCTTATTATTATTATTATTATTATTATTTTTTTTTTTTTAATAATTATAATATAAAATAGGAATAAAATAATTTAAAAAAATTAATTTTCAAATTTTTTTATTTTATTATTTCAAATTATTAATTTATTTTCTGGTATTTAAAGTTTTTATTTTATTATTTTTAATTTTTAATTAATTTATTTATTAATTAAAAAAAAAAAAATTTTTTTGTATTTAATTTTTAATTAATTTATTTATTAATTAAAAAAAAAATAATTTTTTTGTATTTAATAATTTTTTTTTTTTGAAGTATTAAAAAAAAATACCTCGGCAATTCTTGTAGTCTCTCGGATGTGTCTTGCATAAGTTCTTTTAATCTTGCAAGCACTCGACTTTGTTCTGTTAGTGTATTTCCAATTTCTGACGATGTTTTTGGTTTATTTTCGACATTTTTTACAATCTCCTTTATTTTTCCCACTGAATTGTCGACATTCGAAATTGTTGAGCCAGTATTTTTCACCTGATATAATTTATAAATTATAAACATATATATTTAATTATTATAAATTATTATAAATTATTATGAATTATTATAAATTATTTTGAATTATTATGAATTATTATAAATTATTATGAATTATTATGAATTATTACAATAATTTAAAAAAAATTATTTATTAATAAATTATTTATTTCTAAAACTATTAGAAATAATAGAAAAAAAATTTTTTTCTAAATTTTAATTTATAATTTAACTAAAAAAAAAATAAAAAAAATATTGATTATTCCGTTTTTACCTCGGATGCAATATTTTGAATTGTTTCCTTAAGTTGATTAGCTTCATTCTTCATTTTATGATGCATATCATTCATGTTTGCACCAAATTTATCAAATTCTTTGCTCATCATTGTTTGCGATTCATTGAGTTTTGAAATTATTTGTGAATTTGTGTCAGACGTTGATTCCAAAGAATGATCATTAATATCACTGATTTTATTTTCAATTGATATCATCCAATTGTTTAAACGTTTTTCCAAATCTTCCAATGTGTCAGCAGTTTTTTGCATTTGTATCCTTTCTCTTTCATCTCTCTTTAATTATAATTTAGAAGGTTTATTATTATAATTTTTTTTTTTCAAAAAACAAAACCAAAAAAAAACATATTTTTTTTTTCATTGCTATTTTTATCTTTTGATATTATTATTTAATGCCAAATTTGTAATCAACGATATCGAAAAACCACGAAAGATGAATTTAAAGCGAATTCAATGATTTTTAAAAAAAATCCGCCATATTGGACCCGCCATTTTGAATTTTGAAAAACAAATACCAGATTCGTAATCAGCGACCCCAAAAACCCCCGAGTACCGAATTTGAAGCGAATTAAATGAATTTCAAAAAATAACCCGCCATATTGGATCCGTTATTTTGAATTTTTAAAAACTAACAGCGAATTCGTAATCAGCGACCCTGAAAACCCCCCGAGTAACAAGTTTCAGACGAATCCGATAAATATTAAAAAAAAATTATTACGATATTGGATCCCCGCCATTTTGAATTTTGAAAAACAAATACCAGATTCGTAATCAGCGACCACAAAAACCACCGAGTAACGAATTTGAAGCGAATTAAATGAATTTCAAAAAATAACCCGCCATATTGGATCTGCCATTTTGAATTTTGAAAAACTGACAGCAAATTCGTAATCAGCGATCCTGAAAACCTCCCGAGTAACAAGTTTCAGACGAATCCGATGAATTTTCAAAAAAAAATTACCGCCATATTGGATCCACCATTTTGAATTTTGAAAAAAATACCAGATTCGTAATCAGCGAACCCAAAACCCCCTGAGTAATGAATTTTAAGCAAATTAAATGAATTTCAAAAAATAATCCGCCATATTGGATTCGTAATTTTGAATTTTGAAAAACTAACAGCAAATTCGTAATCAGGGACCCTAAAAACCCCCGAGTAACAAGTTTCAGACGAATCCGATGAATTTTCAAAAAAAATTGTCCGCAATATTCAATCCGCCATTTTGAATTTTGAAAAACAGACACCGAATTCTTAATTGGCGACTCCGAAAGTAATTGAACTCTCGAGTAACGAATTTAAGGCGAATTCGATAAGTTTTATATTTGAAAATCAGAAATTTTTTGATTTTGAACTATATGTAAAATTTTAACGAATTCGATTGAAAATCGTTACTCGGGGGTTTTCGGGGTCGCTGATTACGAATCTGATATTTGTTTTTTAAAATTCAAAATGGTGGATCCAATATGGCGGAACATTTTCAAGAAAAGTTTCTAATTCGCTTTAAATTCGTTACTCGGGGGTTTTCGGGGTTGCTGATTACGAATATGGTATTTGTTTTTCAAAATTCAAAATGGTGGATCCAATATGGCGGAACTTTTTCAAATAATTGATCTAAATCGCTTTGAATTCGTTACTGGGGGGGTTTTCAGGGTCGCTGATTACGAATTTGCTGTCAGATTTTAAAAATTCAAAATGACGGATCCAATATGGCGGGTCATTTTTTGAAATTCATTAAATTCGCTTCAAATTCGTTACACGGGGGGTTTTCAGGGTCGCTGATTACGAATTCGCTGTCAGTTTTTCAAAATTCAAAATGGCAGATCCAATATGGCAGAATATTTTTAGAAAATTCATTGAATTCGATTGAAAATCGTAACTCGGGGGTTTTCAAGGTTGCTGATTACGAATATAGAATTTGTTTTTCAAAATTCAAAATGGGGGATCCAATATGGCGGAACTTTTTCAAAAAATTTATCTAAATCGCTTTGAATTCGTTACTGGGGGGTTTTCAGGGTCGCTGATTACGAATTTGCTGTCAATTTTTAAAAATTCAAAATTACGGATCCAATATGGCGGGTCATTTTTTGAAATTCATTAAATTCGCTTCAAATTCGTTACTCGGGGGTTTTTGGGGTCGCTGATTACGAATCTGGTATTTGTTTTTCAAAATTCAAAATGGCGGATACAATATGGCGGTAATTTTTATTGAAAATTCATCGGATTCGTCTGAAACTTGTTACACGAAGGGTTTTCAGGGTCACTGATTACGAATTCGCTGTCAGTTTTTCAAAATTCAAAATGGCAGATCCAATATGGCAGAATATTTTTAGAAAATTCATTGAATTTGATTGAAAATCGTTACTCGGGGGTTTTCGGGGTCGCTGATTACGAATTTGATATTTGTTTTTTAAAATTCAAAATGGTGGATCCAATATGGCGGAACTTTTTCAAAAAAAAGTCTCTAATTCGCTTCAAATTCGTTACTCGGGGGTTTTCGGGGTTGCTGATTACGAATATGGTATTTGTTTTTCAAAATTCAAAATGGGGGATCCAATATGGCGGAACTTTTTAAAAAAATTTTTCTAATTCGCTTTGAATTCGTTACTGGGGGGGTTTTCGGGGTAGCTGATTACAGGTGTTAGTTTTTCAAATTTCAAAATGGCGGATCCAATATGGCGATGTTTTTTGTTAAAATACATTAAATTCGCTTCAAATTCGTTACTCGGGGGTTTTCGGGGTTGCTGATTATGAATATGGTATTTGTTTTTCAAAATTCAAAATGGTGGATCCAATATGGCGGAACTTTTTAAAAAAAATTTTCTAATTCGCTTTGAATTCGTTACTGGGGGGGTTTTCGGGGTAGCTGATTACAGGTGTTAGTTTTTCAAATTTCAAAATGGCGGATCCAATATGGCGATGTTTTTTGTTAAAATTCATTAAATTCGCTTCAAATTCGATACTCGGGGGTTTTTCGGAGTCGCTGATTACGAATTTGGTATTAGTTTTTCAAAATTTGAAAGTGTCTGACCTATTTTTGCTTTATAATTCACTGAATACGTTTTAAATTCCTTTTGCTTGGTGGTTTTTTTTTTATTTTGTACAATAAAATAATTATGATTATTTAAAAATTTTATAGATTTATAAATTTAAGTACCTGTGCAATAAGTTTCTCAATTCCTGCAACTCTATCGTTTAATTTCATTAAATGTGGATGAAAACCCTCAACAATTGTCATTTTTTTTGTCAAAAGTGATAATGATTTTTTTAATTCTTCACCCAATTGTCGTTCACGTGCCTCGTGCCTTTCTAGTTTGCCCGTGTCATCGCGCATCACATGCACGAGACTCAGCATCGCACTTTTTATATCCTCATGTCTAGAATATTAAATATTTATTTCCTTTTTATTATTATTATTATTAAATTATTATCAACTATATACTGTTAGTAATCAAATATATTAATAAAATTATATTAATAATAAACAATAAGAATTTATAATAATAATAATAATAATAATATTAATTACTATTATTATTATTAATATTATTATTTTTATTATATTTAAAAAAAAAAATACTCACGTTATTTCTCTGGCACATGTGAGTCCAAAAATCAGAATTAATAGCACAAATGTCGCTATTGGTAACCTCATGGCGACAATGAACTATTAATTCCCGATAAGCCAGGCAGCCTCTCTGAAAAATAAAATAAAGAGAATCTCAACGAATTTTCCCCCTCATTATTGATAAGTTGTAATATGCGAGTACTAGTAGCTTTGAACTTCAAAGAATTTAAGATTATTTTTCTACATTGAATGGGTCATTATAAATATATAAGTATTTATACAGATATACATATATCTATATGTATATACTCATATACTACACATTTGTATACACAGAAAATTATAAGGTATTAAAATAAGCTGCAACCCTTATTATTTTAATCCAATTTTGCTTATTTTAATACCAAAATGGATTAAAATAAGGAAAATTGGATTAAAAAATACTACAGCGTTGCAGCTGATTTTAATGCCTTTTAATTTTCTGTGTACTTATATATTTTTACATGAAAATAGCTTACAATATATATATCAATATATATATAATATATAAAAAATAGTTTTAAAAATTATAAATTGTAAAATATAGAAACTTATTTCCTATATATATATATACGTGTGTGTGGAAACACCAATTGTGTAATAAGTAAATTTCATTCCGCGAATTAATTCAATAACTCGTGTGCAGATCAGAGACTCATGGGTCACCAATATTGATGACCTTTTTCCCGGACAAAACTTGCTATATAAATTATTATCATTATTATTATTAGTCTACTAGAAATTCAAAATTAATTCTCGAGAAGATTATATATATATATACACTTTTTTTTACATAGAATATTTACAGTTTTTACGTTTTCATTTTATTGGCAAAATTCATGACAATGTTCCATATTACCCCATCGTTGTTTTATATTACCCCTTATCTTTAACCGCTTTTTTTCTTTGTTTTAAAATGATATTTTACCCCTTTCACGACATTTTGTCCCATTTTTTGGTCCAATTACCCCGCCTGTGTATACAGGTTTACCCTATTGTTGGTGACATATTACCCCGTATATTAGTGTACAATCGGAGACAATTCTATTTATCGCTTCTATGTCATTGTGAGAGTAAGACAAGAAAGTAATGTTCCCGATTTTAGGCAATTTTCCACTGTATGGGAAATTTTTGATTATTGTCATATTACCCCGTTTATATAAGGAATGCATAATTATTTTCTAAAAATCATTAGATAGAATTTTCATTTTATGGAATTTAATATGTTATAATATTATTTTCACGGAGAAAAATAGAAAAACGAATAAAGTAACTTTTATACTGTTTCAGAAGTAAAATCGGAAATGTCCGCAGTTTTTGCGCATTTCTGTCAATTTTTACTCTAGAGATAGTAAAAATTACTCCGAAAATAGTAAAATTTACTTTGAAAATAGTAAAAATTATTTCGGAAATAGTAAAAAAATTTAACTATTTCTGAAGTAAAATTTTCTAGAAATACTCAGAAACTGCGGAAAGTTACGGTTTTACTTTTTAAGTAGTACTCTCTAAATCTGAATTAGTAAAAATGTTTACTAATTTAAATTAGTGATTCACTTTTTGCTTTAGAATTATAGTTAAATTTTACTAATTGTTAGTAAAAGTTACTAATAATTAGTAAAGTTTTACTCATTCAGAAGTAAAAAGTGAGTCACTAATTCAAATTAGTAAACATTTTTACTAATTCAGATTTAGAGAGTAAAAGTTACTTTATTTGTTTTTCCATTTTTCTCCATGAATTTTTATTTATTCGAATTAGTATTTTGCAGAATTATTTTCATCAAAACGAGTTTCTATATTATACCACAATTTTAAAATAACCGAAAATTCACTTTATACAATTTTAATATTTTTGAGTATTTTTATTTACTCGAATTTTCATTTAACATAATAGGGTATTTTAAAGAATTTTTCTAGAATTTCATTGCATATATATTTAATGATTTTTAAAACATATTCGTCTCGTTTATAAATAGGCAAAAATTTTTTGAATTTAAAAATCTAGTAACACAATTTATCTTGAAAAAAAAATAATCTTTCTCATATCGCAAATTATATGTGTCTCGAAGAGTTTTTCAAAGATATTATATACTTTCATGAATGGTTGCACTGTACGAAATATTCTCTATACATACTTAAAAAAAAAAAGGAAAAAATTGATCTTCACGGAATTGAAGTGTTACTAAGAAATAAATAACAAAGAAACAAATTTACACTTTTTTAGTATATTTATATTACACTCAAAAAAATAAGTAGTAGATATGACTACTTTTTAACTATACCCTGTATAGTACAATAGGTCCTCAACTCAATTTTAAAAGTTGTATTAACTATACTAAAAAGTAGTTAAAATAACTAAGAATGTAGTTGATATAATAAGATTTTGTAGTTAGTTTTAAATTCTAACTACATTTTTAAGTTAATTGTACTACTAATTTTTAACTACTTAAGAAATTGTGAAATTAACTACATAAACATTGTTAAACTAACTAAGAAAGTAATTGTTTTAACTTATTTTCACTTAACTACCCAAAGGTAGTTGAAGATTTCGGATAAATTTTTTTCAGTGTAAAGTTTTATTATATGAAAATTGTTTTTTCTGTCATCAGTAAGAAATAAAAGAAAATTAAGTTAATAAATTGTGTAAAATTTACATCTTTTTTAAACTATAAAATTTTAGAAGATATTTCTTTTTTGCCTTCTTTTTTTTTGAAGTTATTTTGCAAATGAGATAAAGGAATTAAATTTTAATATAAGGATTGTGAATATGTCAAGGACAAGTGTGTGTTTATATGAAACTAAAACAGAAATAGTTCATATCATAAGGAGGCTGTTTGAAGAAACAGATGTGTCTCTAAATGGACCACATGGCTAAGCAAAGAACATTTTTGTCTCTTTTACCATGCGATACTGTATTATATGTATGTTAAAATTTCTTCTTTCTTTTGTTTTTTTTTCTATTTCTTCTTTTTTTGACAAAATTTTTACAATTTTCCTCTTTTTTTTTTGATATATTTCTTATTTTCAATATACAGGGTTACATTATGTTCCGGATGCCTAAAAAAATTTTTTTAATTCCACTTTCTTTTTGTTTAAGAAACCAAGAAAGGAGATTAAAATTTTTTTGAGGGGGTCCGCAACATAAAAATCACCCTATATGTATAATATTTTCAATAGCTTCAGGTGTCAAGTAGAACATAAAGAAGTCTTTATATATATTGATTGTTCATTGAATTGGAAAAATATGTTCACGATGACGAGATTTTTCTTAATGCAATATAACACATGTGTCAGATCCTTGACTTTTGTATTTATATATTCTTTTCTACTTTTGTCGTTTGACATATATTATATATATATATATCAATGTCAAATTTATAAAATGCACTTTTTCATCATGCGTTAAAAAATATCAAAAAGAAAGGAAACTGAAAAATAAAATTTAAAAAAAAAGAAGACAAAGAAGAAATTTTAAAAAATATTGAACATATTGAAAATTGAAGTCCAAATATAAATGAATCTAAAATTAATTCAGGTTATTGCACTTGTGATGATTTTAAACCCGAAGAGATACTGCAAAATACATATATACATAAAGTCTTTAATTTTAGCCTCGCACATCAAGAAAGTGAACCCTTTATAGGAGAGCATCTGTTTCTATATAGACACGTTCTATTTATAGACACAGAAGGTATAACTCCATGTAATAAAATCTATTAGAGTTTCATGACAAGAGTTTTCTATACAACTTCTTTATCTTCTTCTTCTTCTTTTTCTTCTTTTGACCCCACCGCTATTTCTATATAAATATAAACACACCCATACATTGTATGTTCAATGAGGGTAAAAAATTTTACATGAATGGGGTAAAATGTCACCAAAAAAAAACGGGGTAAACTGTCACGCTTTAGTTAAAAACAATTTTTTCTGCATAGACGGGGTAAAATGCCACCATAAAACGGGGTAAACTGTCACTCATTAGTAAAAGCATAATTTTTGCATAGATGGGGTAATATGACACCAAAAAAACGGGGTAAAGTGTCAATATTCTATAGAGTAAGGGGAACAAATTTTACATGGTCGGGGTAAAATGGTAAAACTGGGTAAAATGTAACTGTCTTTTATTTCCAGTACCGGGAACAAATTTTACATGGTCGGGGTAAAATGGTAAAACTGGGTAAAATGTAACTGTCTTTTATTTCCAGTACCGGGAACAAATTTTACATGGTCGGGGTAAAATGGTAAAACTGGGTAAAATGTCACTGTCATTTATTTCCAGTACCGGGAACAAATTTTACATGTACGGGGTAATGTCGTACTAAAACAGAGTAAAGTGCCACTATTCTATTTAGTAGGAGAAACAAATTTTTCCATGACGGGGTAATATGGTAAAGCAGGATAAAATATAACTGTTCTGATATAAGTAAGAGGGAAAAATTTAACATTGGTTGGGTAATATGGTAGTGGTAAAATATTACTTTTCTGTTCAATTTTACCCCGAAGTTGTTTCGTTTTTTTACCCCCATTATTAGCGACGTTTTGTCTTCTAGTTACTATTTTCCCTATATTTATAATGTTAATAAAATATTTCATTATGTTATTTCGTTTTAGTGACGTTTTTTCTTCGAATTTTCAACCATGTTAAATGGTAAAATTTACTCAGTGACACTTTACCCCAACTTTTTCTTAATATTTTACACCTGGCGTTTTTTTAAATTTCTATTTCATTTGTGAGCTCCATTTATATACGTGAGTCAATTTACCCCACATTGGTAATATTTCGTTCAATTCTTTGTGTCATATTACCCCACTACTAAAAATTATATAGTTCGGGTCACTTTACCTAACAATATGTTATATTTTGTTGGATTCTTTGTGTCATATTACCCCACTACTTTGGAAACTGAAAATTATATACTATTGTGTCACTTTACCCCACATTGGCCATTTTTTATACTGTTCTTTGTCTCATATTACCCCTGTTTTTAAATTTTACAAAGTATAATATTACTTTGGAGATCACTTTACCCCATAATGGAAGTATTTTGATCGATTTTTTGTGTCATATTACCCCATTTTGAAAAGTTGAAATTTTTAATCGATGTATATAGATAACAATTAATTCACAATTTTGTTATATATTTTACCCTTTTTTCTGTGTCATATTACCCCATTACTTTGAAAACTGAAAATTATATAATATTGTGTCACTTTACCCCACATTTGGCAATTTTGCTTTATTTTATACTGTTTTTTGTCTTATATTACCCCTGTTTTTAAACTGAAATTTTACAAAGTATAATATTATTTTGGAGATCACTTTACCCCATAATGGGAGTATTTTGATCGATTTTTTGTGTCATATTACCCCAATTTTGAAAACTTGAAATTTTTAATCGATGTATATTGATAACAATTAATTCACAATTTTATTATATTTTACCCTTTTTTTCTGTGTCATATTACCCCATTACTTAAAAAAACTTAATTTGGACCACTTTGCCCCACTTTGGCAATATTGTTCCGTTTTTACCTCATATTACCCCAATTTTGAAAAATAAGCTTTATACGGTTTTGGGTCACTTTACCCCACGTACTATTTTTTTTTTTTGGTTCCTAGTGCCATATTACCCCACTTTGAAAAATTAATTATATAAAAAAAAATTTTTTTTGTAAAAAAAATAATTAAATTGGAAAAAAAATAATAATATAAAACCGCGGAAGCATTTCAATATGCAAGAAACAAATAAACACAAAAGAATGAAAATAATCGACAAACATATCGTTTGATGTATACTTTTATTGATATATTCTACTTTGAAAAATAATTGAACAATAATTTTACCTTTCGAATTGAATGGTATACGTATATATATATATATATATATATATATATATATATATATATATATATATATATATATATATATATATATATGTATATAATGTTTCCGGAAATGAAATAAAGAAATAAGGGGAATGAAGGAATGCGAAATAAGAAATACGATTTTTCATTGGTTGATACGTTTGAAAAATTTCGCGCTATTTTACGCGTAAAATAATCAAAAAATAAAATTTCTTATTCAAAAATTGCAAAAAAAAAATATTTCATTTACAAAAGAATTTTTTTTTTCTTTTTTATTTTTTAAAATATTAATTATATATTATTTATTTGTAGAATTATTAATTAATTTTTTTTTGCATTATTTTATTAATTTAAATTATATTTGTTAATTTATTTATTTTAATAATAATGTAAAAATAAATTTTTAATATGTATATAAATTAATTAGTAATAAAAAAATAAATTAAAAAAATATTAATTATTAATTAAATAGAAAAAAATTAATTAAAATAAATTAATTAGTAATAAAAAAAAAAAAATAAATAAATTATGAATATAAAAAATTAAGAAAAATAAATAAATTATAAATAAAATTACAATAAAATAAATAAATTAATTAATAACAATGCAAAAATAAATTAATTAAAAATTTTGCAAATAGATTATTATTTATTTATATCATTTCAGTAATTATTTATTATTAATCATTTTCTATTATAAAAAAAAATTTTTTTTTTGAAGTCTTGATAAAACAAAGTAATAATTTTTTGAACGATAATAATAATTTAAATACTATTATTCCAAAACAAAATATTTTATATTGAAATTATTATATTTTTACTAAATTTCCTCTTGTTTGAATTTTTATGTACATGGATAAATTATTATTATTATTTTTTTTTTTATCTTTATATATAGTAAAATTTGAGGAAAAAAAATTTTTTTCGCTTACTCTTTTTGCTGTTCGCGTGTTTGTGTGTGTATGTGAGATTGTTTTCTTTGTTTTGAAAATGGCAAAATGAACGAACACGCACAACAGCGGCGTCCTGCTTTCGAGTCTGATATACGAGATGAACTGAAGTACTCTGGCTGCACCATTAGTTGACTCCTCATTTGGAACTTTAAAAAAAGGCAATTGCCGGAAGTTGTGCTCTCAGTGGCATCTCGCGTGGACCGAGAAGAACATTATATACATATATATATATATATATATATATATATATATATATATATATATATATATATATATATATATATACATTGTTGTACAAAAAATATTTATTTGCTGCTTGCGGGCAATTTGTAAAAAAAAAAACGTTTTTTTTTTCTTTTCTTTTTAAACAAATATTTTTATACATAGAAAATTTCCGCGGTTTTTTTTTTTATTTCTTTAATAAGAATTTTTATTTTTTTTTTTTACATTATTTTTATTAATTTCTATTTCATTTTTAGTTAATTTTTATTTTATTATTATTAATTTTAATAATTAATTAAATTAAAAATTTTTTTTTTGTAATTTTACAGAAAAATTTTTATTTATTAAAATTTCTATGTTTAACCAAATTTAAGAATTAATAACTAATTCTATTTTCTGGAAAATATTTTTTTCTTTTAATTAATTATTAGTTATTAATTAATAAAAATAAATTAATTCATAATAATAATTTAAAATGTAATATTGACATTGATGGAAATTTTTATTTTCACTGTACTTTTGTTAGAAAGAATTTTTTTTTAAATTAATTTTCTGGAAATCAAAATAATTGAAAATTATTTTTAAATAAATGAAAATTATTGTTGAAATAATTGAAAATTATTTTTTAAATAAATGAAAATTATTTTTTAAAAAATTGAAAATTATTTTTAAAATAATTTTAAAATAAATTTGAAATAAATTTGATAAAACTAAAAAATTGAAAAAATTTTCTATATAAAAATCATTAACCTTTTTTTATATTAAATAATAATATAATATAAACATTTACAAATATAAATTGTACAATATATGTAATAATATCAAACAAGATTTTTTTTTTATTGTATATAATATATATAGTTTAAAATAATTAAATAATTAAAATCGTATTTACAATAATAATTTTCCTTTTTGTCAGACGAATTATTAAATTATCTATAATATAATAAAATATATATGTATATAAAAAATCATTTGCTGGATGAAAATAATTTTGATTTTCAAAGATAAGCAAAGAACAAATAAAATTATCACACACACACACACGCACGTTAAAGTGCATTCGGCTTTTAGTGAAGAATTTTTTTTTTTTTATATATACATATATTTTTTTTTGAAAATAAAGTTCTAAGTCATAATATTCACAGTCAACTTGAACAATTTTTTTTTTCATTTTGTTTCTTTCGTTCGTTCGTTCTTTCTTTCTTTCTTTCTTTTATCTTTTTTTTTATGCACACGATATGATTTGAAATACTTTTTTTTTTTTTTTGAATTTAATTGAAATTATCAATATTATCCGAATATCACAAAACTGCCGTGGCTGAACTATGACTTTGGTAAATAATTGCCCCAGTAAAATTGATGGCAGCGGCTAAAACAAAAACTGGCATCCAACGGCCATGGGAAGCTGTTACCAATTCTGCTGTTAATGGTCCACACAAAATGCCAGGAATTGTCGCCTGTAATTATTTTTTTATTTTTTAATTATTTAATATTTTTTTTATTTTCGAAAATTAAATTTTCAATTTTTGACCGAAATTACAAAAAATATTTTAGATTTAAAATAGATTTTGGCGCTATATATTTAAAAATTCTACCAAATCAGAATATTTTTCCAGGCCTCGGATTATACGACTTTTTCCGACTTTTTTCCAAAAATACGACTTTTTTCGACTTATATTAATAAAATGCGACTATTTCAACTTTTTTTTTACATTTTTTAAACAAATTTTTTAATAAAATATATTTTTTTTAGTATAAAATGCAGATCTTCTTCAGATCTTCTTCAATTTCAATTATTTAACAAATTTTTAACTAAAATTCTTCACTAAATTAATTATTTTTAATAATTTTAATGAAATTCATACACAAATTCAATTATTTCAATTATTATTTTTCAATTAAAATTTTTATGAAATTTAACAATTGTTTATAATTTAAAAAAAAATATCAGATAAAATTACCACAAATTTTTAATTCAAAATCATAAATCAATTCAATATCAAATAAAATTCAATTATTTTTTCTAAAATTTCAATTTAAAATCAAATAAAATTCAATTATTTTTAAAAATTTTAATTTAAAATTAATTATTATCAAAATTTTCAATAAAAAATCAATTAAAATTAAATTATTATCCAAAATTTCAATTAAAATTCAATTATTTCCCAAAATAATTGGAAAAATTCAATTATTTTCAAAATTTTAAATTTAAAATCAACTAGAATTCAATTATTTTCCAAAATTGCAATTTAAAATAAAAAAAAATTCAATTATTTTAAAAATTTTCAATTAAGAATTAATTATCAAAATTTTCAATCAAAAACAAACCAAAATTCAATTATCCACAATTTCAATTGAAATTCAATTATTTTTCAAATTTTCAATTCAAAATTAATTATTATCAAAATTTTCAATAAAAAATCAATTAAAATTAAATTATTATCCAAAATTTCAATTAAAATTCAATTATTTCCCAAAATAATTGGAAAAATTCAATTATTTTAAATTCAAAATCAACTAAAATTCAATTATTTTAAAAATTTTCAAATCAAAATCAATTGAAATTCAATTATTTTCCAAAATTCAAATTTAAAATAAAAAAAATTCAATTATTTTAAAAATTTTCAATTAAGAATTAATTATTATCAAAATTTTCAATCAAAAACAAACCAAAATTGAATTATCCACAATTTCAATTGAAATTCAATTATTTTTCAAATTTTCAATTTAAAATTAATTATTATCAAAATTTTCAATAAAAAATCAATTAAAATTAAATTATTATCCAAAATTTCAATTAAAATTCAATTATTTCCCAAAATAATTGGAAAAATTCAATTATTTTCAAAATTTTAAATTCAAAATCAACTAAAATTCAATTATTTTCCAAAATTTTTAATTTAAAATCAAATATAATTCAATTATTTTTAAAAATTTCAATTCAAAATTAATTATTATCAAAATTTTCAATCAAAAACCAACTAAAATTGAATTATTATCCAAAATTTCAATTAAAATTCAATTATTTTCAAAATCAACTAAAATCAATTATTTTTAAAAATTTCAATTCAAAATTAATTATTATCAAAATTTTCAATCAAAAGCCAACTAAAATTTTAATTATTATCCACAATTTCAATTATTTTGAAAAATTTGAATTTAAAAGCTTCTAAAATTTAATTTTTTTTTTATTTTTTTTTAATTTTATAATTTCAATTATAACTCTAAGGAAATTCAATTATCTGAAACCATTTTTCAATTAAAAATTGTTTTTCAAATTATTGTATTTTTGTCCGCAATTTCTAATAAATTTTTTATTGAAATCATTCAAAATTTTTAATTAAAAATCACTTGAAGTTGAATTAATTTCAAAAATCTCAATTGTAAATCTTTGAATATATTTAATTACATTTAAAAAAATGTTATCTAAAATTATTTGATAAATTATTTTTAGTTCTGTAAAATTTAATATTATTGTCTGAAAATTAACAAAATATTTTGAAATTCAATTATTTCTAAAAATTTCAACTTTAACCCTTCCAAAGGTATTATTATTTAAAAAAAAAGGTTTATTTAAAAATCTGTAAAATATTTTAGTTAAAATAAAAAAAAATCGACTTTTTTTAAATATAAATCGACTTTTTTTGTGCCTTTAAGTCGATCCGAGGCCTATTTTTCGGTAATTTTTTGATTGTGGCGATTATTTTATAAATTGGCGGCAAAATTCTTTTTTTTTTTTTTTTAGATTATGTGCGATATTTCTTTTTTATACGAATTTGTACTTAACATAATTTTTAGTTACCGAATTTTTGTTTCGTAGAATTTTTTTATTTATACAAATTTTGAATTTTACGAATTTTTAAGACGCCGAATTTTTCATATTTGTCCGAAATTACAAATGACCGAACAATTAGATATAAGAAAGATTTCGGCGCAATTTTTTTTTTTGAAATAATTAACCAATTAGAAATTATCAAGAAAATTGTAATTGGTTAATATTCAAAAATTGCGCCTGAAATATTTCTTATCTGTTTGTTCGGTCATTTGTATTTTCGGACAAATGAAAAATTCGGCGTCTTAAAAATTCGTACAATTCAAAATTCGGACAAATTTGAAATTCGGTGAATTGGAATTTTTATCATTTAAAAATTCGATTGAATGAGATATTTTTGAAAATTAAAATTTTGCTAAAATTACATTTTTTTGAAATTTAAAATTAATTAATTAAAATTTTTCTTTTTACTATGTAAAATAAAAAAATTCTCGCCAAAAATTAATACTCACTATTGTATTTGAAATGGCGAAAGTAATGCCCGCATGATTGGGTGCAACTTCCGCGTGATTACTCAAATGTCCGGAAGAATTACAAGCGCAAAGTCCCATTGAAATGGAAATAAATCTGGATAAAAGAAATTTTAATTTTTTTTTTTGAAAATTAATTAATATTTTAAAAATAATGGAAAGAACTAAATGAAAAAAAAAATTCGAAAAACTCACATCACTGCTAAAAGAAGATTGTCAACTGTACAAAATGCAAGGAGAAAAGCACCCGGTCCAATTAAACCAATATTCGTCATTAGCCTCCGTACGCTTAGTATTTGCCATCGTTTTTGAATGAGATTATCGGCACCATAACCAGCAACTGAAAAAAAAATTAATTAAAAAACCATTTTTTTTAAATAAATAAATAAATAATATTTAATTTAACCGAATTTTAATTTAGCAGAAAATTTGCATTCGAACAGAAAACATTTTTTTAAGTGATTCGAATTTTTTAGCAGATAAAATTTTCAATTGTCGAAATTTAAAAAAAAAATTATTTATATATGATAGAATTTTTAAAAAACGATTTTTCCGATTTGACCGAAATTGCAAATGTGTCCGAATAAACATAACCGACAAATAGAATTTGGCGCGATTTTTAAAAAAATACGAACAATTAGAAAAAAGGATAAAAATTGTTAAAGAAATTTTTAAAAATCGCGCCAAATTTTTTGTAGGTGGCGCTGCTATTTGTAGATTATGTTTTTTTCGGACATATTGGAATTTCGGTCAAATCGGACAAAAATCGACGTTTTTGATAATTTTTGCATAAATAATAAATAATATTTATTTTTGTGGTAATTATTATTTTTCAATTTTCTTTTTTTTTTGTTACCTATACCAACGAGGGAATTGACAATATAGGGTAAGGCAGTGAAACTAATGCTCTTCTCGTTTGCTGAGAGATTTTTCGACAAATATGTTGGTAGCCATTGCATAATAATGTAATTGCTCCAATTCATTGCAAAATGTGCGATATAAAGTGACCAAAGTGGCCAATGAAGTATAAATTCCGTCCATCGAAGACTTCGATTTTGTGATACCTTGAAAGAACAAAAAATAAAAAAATTAGTTACATTTTTTTTTATTAATAATTTTCTTAATTATTTGAATTAATTAACAATTAATAATAATTTTATTAATTACCCTTAATTAATTAATAATTCATAATAATTTTATTAATTATTCAATTAATTAATAATTAATAATTAATAATAATTTTATTAATTACTTAATTAATAATTAATAATTAATAATAATTTTATTAATTACTTAATTAATAATTAATAATAATTTTTATTAATTACCCTTAATTAATTAATAATTCATAATAATTTTATTAATTATTCAATTAATTAATAATTAATAATAATTTTTATTAATTGCCCTTAATTAATTAATATTTAATACTAATTTTTATTAATTACCCTTAATTAATTAATAATAATTTTATTAATTATTCAATTAATTAATAATTAATAATAATTTAATTAATTACTTAATTAATAATTCATAATAATTTTATTAATTATTCAATTAATTAATAATTAATAATTAATAATAAATAATAATTTTATTAAATACTTAATTAATTATTATTTTGTTTTTAATGTACCTTAGGTATAAATAGTGGAATTTCATCTTGACTATTGGTCTCGTGATACATTATTAACCATAAAAAAGTCCAAAATATTCCAAACGAGCCGAATAAATAGAATCCAGTTTGCCACGATACGTTTGGACATAACTGTAATAAATTTTTTTATTTTTTAAATTTGTTTTTTTTTGGGGTTTTTTTTTTTTTTTTGCCAACTTTTTTTTTTCTTTATTACTTACAACGGAGGCAACAACCTGGCCCACGGTACCGGCTGCCATGAGAAAACCAAAAGCTCGCGATCTCTCTTCCACCGGAACATTGTGAGCAAATAAATGGAAAATTACTGGCAAACCTTTAATTAGAATTAATTTTTTTTGAAAATTTATATTTTTTCTAATTTTGAAAATTAATTTTTTTTTTCTAATTTTGCAAATTAAATTTAAATAATTTTTTAATTTTGCAAATTTAAATAAATTTTTAATTTTGCAAATTTAAATAATTTTTTAATTTTGCAAATTTAAATAAATTTTTAATTTTGCAAATTTAAATAATTTTTTAATTTTGCAAATTTAAATAATTTTTTAATTCTGCAAATTTAAATAATTTTTTAATTTTGCAAATTTAAATAATTTTTTAATTTTGCAAATTTAAATAATTTTTTAATTTTGCAAATTAAAAAGAAAATTGTCTTCTAATGTTTTAAATTAAAAAAACATTTTTTTCTTTTCTTTTACAAACCTAAACCTTCGCCAAGGCCAAGAATCACTCGGCAAATTACGAGTAAGGTAACAGATTCAGCCAAAAGTGGAGTAATAATTGTGCTAATTGACCAGAGTAAAACTGCTGCCATCAAAACGGTTTTACAACCATACCGATTCGCAGTACTGGCTCCAATTATCTATTTTTGAAAGAGAAAAACTATTTTAATTTTTTATAAATTTAATAAATTAATACGTAAAATAATAATAATAATAATAATAATAATAATAATAATAATAATAATAATAATAATAATATTAATATTAATAAAAAAAATTTCAAATTAATTTTTTATTTAATAGATAACTATTATTAATAAATAAATAATAAATAAAATCGCCAAATTGCGATTCGTAGCCGATTTTTATTAGAAGTATTCGCATTTGCTTGACCCTTTCATTGATCAGAGTAGAGGAAAACTAGGGAATTTAATTCCATTAATTAACAATTATTCGAATAATAAAATTTTAAAACCATTTAAAATTTTTTTAATAAACTAAAATAACAAATTTACTATTATTTATAAATATAATTGTTAATTGACAATGTTAAACAATTATATTTTATAAATAATTGTAAATTTTTTAATTTTAGTTAATTAAAAATGGTTTTTAATTAAATTAAATTTAATTAAATGGTTTTTACAGTTTATTATTTGAATAATTGTTAGAAAAGAAAAACCCCTTTTTTAAGGGGCGTATGATTATTCCCCAAATTTCAATTTCCTAAATTTTGTTTTCCCAATATATAATTTTTCACAATCTCTATATTTCTTATAATAATCATTGTACATGAATTCCCTTTTTCAAATTTTCAAATAACATATGATCAAAACAACAGAAATTTCATTTCATCTAAAATATCACGTCTTAGTTTTTAAGCAGTTGTTTCCCATCTATGTGTTTTATATTTTTTGATTAAAATTGTCGGTAAAGAAAATAAAAATTTTTTTTTGTTTATGTAGAATCTACATCTACTTTACCGACAATTTTAATCAAAAAATATAAAACACATATAGATGGGAAACAACTGCATAAAAACTAGGACGTGATATTTTAGATGAAATGAAATTTCTGTTGTTTTGATCATATGTTATTTGAAAATTTGAAAAAGGGAATTTATGAACAGTGATTATTATAAGAAATATAGAGATTGTAAAAAATTATATTTATATTTGTTCGATATTCTAAATGATAGAAATTTAGAAGCATCGAATTTTATATCCATTGAAATTTAATTTGGTCGATATTTTAAAAGCTCGACATTTTTTTTTAGCTATACGAGTTTCCTTTCTATGTAGTTTGTCGGTAAAGTACATTGAAATTTTGCGGGAAATTTGAAATTTATTGATGTAAATAATAATAACAATATAGAGAGGAAACTCGTATAGCTAAAAAAAAATGTCGAGCTTTTAAAATATCGATAAAATTAAATTTCAATGGATATATAAAATTCGATGCTTCTAAATTTCTATCATTTAGAATATCGAACAAATAAAATATCGACTAGTTTAAATGTGGATCATTTAGAATATCGATCAAACAAAATATCGAACTAATAAAATTTCGACCACTTTAAATGTCGATCATTTAAAATTTCGACCAAATGAATTATTGTCTAAATAAAATGTCGACCACTTTAAATATCGAGCATTTAGAATTTCGATCAAATAAAATGTCGACTTAAAGTAATTCGATCAATTAAAATTTCGTACTTTTTAATTTTTGGGAAAAATCATGCGCCTCTGTTTTGTAAATTACATATTATGTCAAATAGCAAATAGTGTAAGTGAATTTTAGGTTATGTGGATGTTGGAAAAATAACAATTATAAGAAATTATAGAAAATTGAAATTTATGTAAAATAATATTTCGAAGCAATAAAAATTATACAAAATGATCATTCGTCAAAATAAAAATTATATTAAAATGTAATTTGATTATTTAAAAATTAGAATAAATGATTATTCGAAAAAATAAAAATTATGTTAAACGTTATTTCGAAATATAAAAATTATGTGAAATGACATTTGAAAAACATGGAAATTATATTAAATGGCAATTAGTATGAATGAATTTTAGGTTATGTAATCATTCGGAGAATTAATAATTATGACAAATAACCATTCGGAAGAATGAAGTTTTCGGCAAAATAAATATTATGTCAATAGATAATTCTATTATTTAAAAATTAGAATAAATGATTATTCGAAAAAATAAAAATTATATTAAATTGTATTTCGCAATATAAAAATTATGTGAAATTACATTTCGATAATAAGAATTTCGATGTTTTGAAAATTATGAAATTGAAATTTGGGGAATAATCATGCTCCCCTTTATTTAATTGGCACCACTCGGGATAAAATTTTTTTTTTAAATTAAGAGAGAACCAAAAGATCGATATTATAGGTTATGTTGACAAACAATTTTGCGCGTTTTTTTTTTTTTTTAATTAAAAAATCTAATAATAATAATAATAATAATTAAAGTAGAGAAATGTAAAAAAATTTTCAATTGCCTGACTGGTGAAGTAACCAAATGCAAATGCAGAATGAATCCATCCTTGCCAATGTAAATTCCAATGAAATTCGTGTGACATTGGAACAATGGCAATTGGCATAATAACACGATCCGCGGCATTAATAAAATTCGCCGCCGAACATAAAATGACAATTTTTGAATTTCTCGGTAACATTTTTATATTTGGCATACTGCCGTTTTTTTCACCTTTTTTTAAAAAAAAAACAATCTATTAAAGAATTTTTTTTTATGTAATATTATAATTTAATAATTGAAAAAAAGTCACATCTTGTACACTTAAATTCTTGATAACCTCACAATATTTTTTTAATATAAAATTTTTGCAACTTTTCTAAACGACGTGGCGTAAAAATTTGTCATTTTATTTTAACACATACACACACATATAGATGTTAGAAAATTATTTTTCCCCGTTTCTTTAATTGTGAAATATTCTTAGGGCGGTATTCATAGTCGATACTCATTTCTTAAGCAGCGACTTAAGCTGACACCTAGATTCATAGTCGTGCATTGTGGATTGACTTAAGTCGCAACTTAAGCATTTGCTTAAAGAAGTAAATGCTTTGATTTTGAGATGCATAGTCCCATCTTAAGAATGCCAAGTATTCATAGTCAAATAGGATTTTCTTATTTGACATTACCGGTGAACTTATTTGAACGAATTGAGGTTATGATTTAAAGTCAACGTTTTAGTTGACTTAAGCAATAACTTATTAGTGTATTTATAGTGAAAAAAGTGTTAACAATGGATATAATGCATTATTTAAGAGACATTGAGGATGATATTGATAATGAAGATGGTCCAAACAATATAAGACGTGCAAAACGATACATTCGAGATGCGGAAAATTCTTTTGAAATAGATGAGTGAGAGTTTCAGAGACGTTATCGTTTTCACTCCACGCAGCCTCCTTAGCTTTCAAGGAACAATCGCTTTTGCGATTTTCAATAACATGGGCAAAAATTTTGATAGTTTGCAGGAAAAGTTTTCTTTATCCGTATTGGTGTAATGCTTTTTAGACATTTTATTACTACAAAAAGTTTCATTAATTAGTATTAAAATTTAGTATTATTTATAATAATTTAATTATTTATTGTTTACAAATTTTATATTCCATTATATTTTTATTTTAATATATAATTTAAGGGAGTGAGAGTAGCAGATTTATATTTGGATACATTTATTATTTCTACAAGAAAAAAGAATTTATGTATGAAAGTAGTTATTTTATGTTTATAAACAATTAAAATTTTTTAGCGTACAGCACTTTTTTAAAAACGAGAGTATATAAGATAAGATATAAAAAAAATTACCAGTCTTTTTAATTTGAAAAAGAAAAAATAAATTGTGTTCTACAAATTGTACGCCTAATTTTAAAAATATTAATGTTAATATATTGATCATTATTTTGAATATTTCACTATTATGTATCATTATTTATCAAATTTTAAATATATTTCATTCGTTGATTATTAAAAATTTTTACTTTTAAACAACATTAATTATATTCACAGGTTTATATTTTTGAATTTTGTTTTATTACTGTTTTTTATTACAAACATTTAATAAGAAAAATATTTTACAAATTTACTTTTTTCAAATGATTAAACAAAACAATTTTATAAATAACATTAAAAACGCTGAAACGAAAAACTCAAATTGAATACAACGCAAGTATAAATATTCCTTGGCGCATTGAGGCGAATTTTCAAAACCATTTCTTATTGGTGGATTCAAAAGAATATTGACGGAAAAATCCGATCGTTCAATAAGATCATCTTAAGCATTTGCTTGGTCAAGAAATTCTTAAGCTGCATTTCCTTTACCAAGCAATTGCTTATTTTTGACTATGAATATATATGGTCTTAAGCTCGACTCATTCGAATAAGACCGTCTTGATCAAGCAACTCTTAAGTCCTTGCTTAAGTCGGAACTATGAATACCGCCCTTAATATATTATCACCGAAATCTTATATATTTGACGTGTCAGAAAAAAAGAATTGGTTATATAGTTATTGATAACAATCGTCAGATGGCGATAGTGAGGAGTTGGAATTTTTTTTTTTTGGAGTTTCGGAAAAATAGTTATTAATTTTATTTCAAATGAAAATTGGAATTTATATTTTGATTATAAATAATTTCGAGAAAAGAATACATATTTAGAAATGTTTAAGGTGGTAATTATTTTTACGCCCCTGTACATTGATAATCATCTCTACAAAGTGACTACATTACTCAAGTTAATATTTGAATTTTATTTTTGGTTTTTAAAAAAATAGAATGAAAAAAAAACCGATATTGCAAAAAGGGTTTAATTTATTATATTTAAATATTTCTCTCTTTATTTTTTCCAAATTTTTCGAAAATGAAAATTAAATTTTGTAATTAAAGAGAAAAAAAAATCGATTTGTTATTGCTCTTTTGATAAAGTTGGTACAATTTTGAAATAACGACCGTTTTTAATTTTTTTTTCTCTTTTTTAAAAATTCTGTCCCATTTAAGGCGCTTTTACATTTTTTTTGCTGCCTGCAGGTTACCATGGCAACGCATGAGAGTGAGTGCGACAGAAATTTTTTCTGTCTCACTTACACCCGTGCGTTGCCATGGTAACCTGCAGGCAGCCAAAAAGGTTTTAGTGCGCCATTAATAATAATAATGAATATTTAATAACAAATAATAATAATAATAATAATAATAACAATAATAATAATAATAATAATGGTAATGTAAATAATAATAATCGTAAAGATAATAGTAATAAAAATAATAATACCTAATAACAATAATAATAATATTTATTTAATTGTATAAGGAATACAAAAATTTTACAATCATTTCGCTCACATTAAATACATTCAAAAATTTCGCTCCTAATTTTTTTGTTACAACTTTGCCAAATTCACATACTACGAACAATAATTTAGTATTATAAAAGTATTATATTAAATAAATTAAAATTTTCGAAGGCATAATACACCAAATTGCATAAATACTTGTCCTTCCGATTTGACGGCATTTTGAAAAGTCGTGTCACTTGTATAATAATTTTATTAGTTCGTGGCATAAACTAATAAAATTATTATAGAAGTGTCATGGCATTTTGAAAAGTCGTGTCACTTCTATAATAATTTTATTAGTTCGTGGCATATGGCCAAAAATAGGCCTAAGCAGAATAAAATCTCTAATCGTAAATCTTTAGCTTTTACATGAGAGAAAAAAGGATAGAAATATCTTTTGTCTTTTTCTCTCTCATGTAAAAGCTAAAGATTTACGATTAGAGATTTTATTCTGCTTAGGCCTATTTTTTTGTCCATATGCCACGAACTAATAAAATTTATTATAGATGTGTCACGACTTTTCAAAATGTCGCGTCAAACTGGAAACACAATATTTATGCAATTGTAATTTATACAATAAAATAATCATTCCATTCCCGCTGATGATGTTGATGGTAATTCACAATTAAATTCCGATGATGCCGTTGCAACTGTTATTATTGACATTGCAGCAGCAGCGGCTGATGTTGGCGATGATGTTGGTGACGATGATACTGTCGATGATGTATCATAAAAAAAATTATTTTCCCCAATATCCATATTTTCCCATAATGCTAAATGTGAATTATCATCAGGTTCATCATCATCATTGGGCATTGATAAATCAATTGGTTTATCAAATGGAAAAAATGATGAATGAAATAATGATGGATTTGCATCGCGTTGTATTTTTAATAAACGTGTTGCTTCATAAAGCATATCGCTGAATGAACGTTTTTCAATTCTTGTTGGTGGACATGGCATTTCATCGGCGAACACTTCCATTCCCAATGCTAATAAATTGCGTATTGATTCCATTAAATAAATTCCATCAGTTTTGTGTATTGCCTCATTGTCCCTTGATATAAAACTGTAGCCAACTTGTCCAATATTAATAATACGTTTGTTAATACGTATAAATAGATTTGTGTCATTTGGTACAGTGTCGGTTAATTCAAATGATTTTACTCGAAATGAACGTTTATCATACGATATCTGGAAAATAAAGAGAAAAAAATAAATAAATATTTGTTATTATTTTATAGGTTAGAAATCGGTTTTAAGGGCTGAGCTGAATAAAAAGTTAAACGGAATCGTAATCGCAAACCCAACCGGAAGAATGAGTTAGAGAAGGATAGACATATTTGTTTGTCTTTCTCTAACTCATTATTCCGGTTACGATTCCGGTTACGTTTCTATTCTGCTCAGGCCTTAAATAAGAAAAATTTCCTTGGCCTTAAAAGCCTTAGGGTACGGCCACAGCTCAGCTATCTAAATAGGGTCGTCATGGTAACGTATGAGTGTGAGAGAAATAAAGAATGTTCTTATTTCTCTCACTCTTATACGTTACCATGACGATTCTACTTAGGGTTGGTTTCCATTGTGTCCCCACTTGCCATTTGTCATAATTCTCCTCAACTACCGTACCCTGCTCTAGTAAAAATTTAGTGACTTTATTGTTAAAATTAAAAGTTACAAAATTTTCACTAGAACAGGGTGCGGTAGTTGAAGAGATTTATGACACAAATTGACGAGTGGAGACAATGAAAACAAACCCTTAGGTGGCTGAGCTGTGTCCGTACCTTAAGACTTTTAAGGCCAACGTACAATAGTTTCGCTAACGTGAAGCATGAGTTAGAAAAGGATAGATATATGTTTCTATTCTTTTCTATCTTATGGATAATTCCCATAAAGATAAAATGAATAATATAATAAATATAATGCAATACAATATTAATATAATAAAAATAAGAAAATAATTATTCTAAACCAAAAAATTGTGTTAAAAAAATAATTAAATTATATAATAAGAATATTAAGGTGCTTTTATACCTTCAGTATTTTGGTCAAGCAATTGGCTGGATTGAATTTTCACGGCTGTATCACTAAATTTGATTGGCTCTGACTAATATTCCATTTCCAACGTGAAAATGGAATATTTTTAGAGCCAATCAAATTTAGTGATTCTCTGTGAAAATTCAATCCAGCCGATTGCTTGACCAAAATACTGGAGGTATAAAAGCACCTTTATGCGACATAAAAATATTGCAAACATCCAAACATAACCAACAAAAAAAAAACGCGCAATTTTTCAAAATTGATCAATCACAATTTTTGATTAGTCGAATTAATTTATTAATTTATTATTTAAAAAAATAATAATAACAATATAATAACAAAGTAATAATAATAATAATAATAATTAAAAGAGTAAAAAATTTTTCAATAAAAAAAATAAAATTATGTATTATTAAATTATTAATTATATCAATTTTTTACCTCAGTAATTTCGGCGATATTTCCAATGTAACATTGAAGTCGTTTGTCATCAATTCCTTCATCTTCAGATGATGACGACGATGATGATGATGATGATGAATTATCAAGGTCATTGAATAAAAAATTAGCGAAATCCATATTTTTTTTTTTATTATATAATCCACTGTTGAAAAAAAAAATAATTTCGTCAAAAAAAATTTGATAATAACAATAAAATAGAATACAAAAAAAAATACATGAAAATTTGAGATAATAAATTTTTTTAATTTATGAGATTTAATAAAATTTATTTATATAAAAATTCTATATAGTTAAATAATTAAATTTTTTTTTTATTTGTTCAATTGAGTATTTTTGATAGAAAAATTAAAAAATTTTTTAATGTAATATATTCTAAAAATAATTATAAATAATTAAAAAATTCTTTTCTCCATAAATAATTAAAATTAAGTGAGATTTATAAAATTAATTTAATTAAAATTATTAAAATCAAAACAATTTAAAATGGAAATAGAAAAATTAAAATATTTGATAATAAATGTTGAAATAAAAATAATTAAAATATAATATTAAAATAATTGTAAATAAATATTAAATTAAAATATAATATTAAAATAATTGTAAATAAATATTAAATTAAAATATAATATTAAAATAATTTAAATAAATATTAAAATTAAAATATAAAATTAAAATACAAGTAAAAATATAAAATAAATTTGATTTAAAGTAAAAATTAAAATATTAAAAGATAGAATTAAAAAAAAAATAATTAAAATTATAATTATTTCTTAAATTTTTAATTGGATCACTAAAAAAAATTTAATTTCCAATAAAAAATTATATTATAAATATTTTTTTAAATCGAATAAAAAAAAAGAAAAATAATAAATAATTAATTAAAAAAAATAATAATTTAAAAAAAAAAATTAATAAAAAAAGTAAATATTTTTTATTTAAAAAAAAAAGTGACAAATACTTACGTAAAATTCAATTTGTTAGTGTTTACAGGTAGCCAAATAGGAGGAACAACAACTGCACCCGATGAAGTCTCAACTCAAAATGATTTAGTAAAAAGGGATTCGACTAATGACTTTACCGGGGGTAAAATGAACTCAAACTCGGGAGACGCGTCCAAAAATTTTTAAGTAGGCGCCAAAAATCATTCAATTTTCATAAAAGGGCCACATTATCTAGAATATATTTGTGAGTTTTTTTTTTTTTTTTTTTTAAAGTTATTTAAAAATTTTAAATAATTAAAATTAATTTTTTTGAAGAATTTTTTTTTTTTAAATTAATATTAATTAATTAAACATAATTTTTTAGGTATAAAAATTTTAAAAAAAATTTTAATAATTTTAACTAATTTAATTTGTACAAATTTATAATTATTTATTATTTTATTATTATATTTTATTTCATTATTTTATCAGTGTTAAATTATTATTAATTATAAATTTTTAATTATAATAAATTATAATTATAATAATTATAATAATTAGTAATCGTAATAATTAATAATTATATTAAATTAAAATTATAATAATTAGTAATTGTAATAATTAATAATTATAATAATTTAAAAATTATAATAATTAGTAATTATAATAAATTAAAATTATAATAATTAGTAATCGTAATAATTAATAATTATAATAAATTAAAATTATAATAATTAGTAATTGTAATAATTAATAATTATAATAAATTAAAATTATAATAATTAGTAATCGCAATAATTAATAATTATTATAATTAGGTATAATAAATTAAAATTATAATAATTAGTAATCGCAATAATAAATAATTATAATAATTAATTGTTATTTATATTAATATAAATTATATTATTATAATTAACATCAATATTATTATATTTATTTATATATTTTTTTGAAAAGTATATTAATGTTAGATTTTTAATTATTTATTTATTAGAAAAACATAATTTAAATTTTTTTTTGGAAAATTATTTACAGTAAAAGGGCACTTTATGCATTAGATACATTCCTGGTTTCTTCTTTTGTTATAATTGAAGTTAATGGAATTTTTCCATAATCCCACTGATTTTTCTCTATTATATTGTGTTATGCATAATTGCTTTTTAATGATATGGCGTCAATTTTTTCCCGAACCGACGCCATACGATTTTTTTCCCCTTATTATTTTGGCACTTCTTTTCGAAAATAATTATCTTTTTTTTTTTTTTAAATTATTAAATAAAAAAATATTTTCTCATATTAAATAATTAATTTAAAAAAAAAATATTTAAAAATTAAAATAATTTAAAAAAAAATATTTAAAAATTAAAATAATTTTAAAAAAAATATTTAAAAATTAAAATAATTTAAAAAAAAATATTTAAAAATTAAAATAATTTAAAAAAAAATATTTAAAAATTAAAATAATTTAAAAAACTAATATTTAATTATAAAAGAATTATTTCCTATTAAATAAATTATAGACCAAAAAATATATATTTCATTTTTATTTATTTTATTTATTACAATATAGTAATAATTTTATTTTATTTAAAAAAAAAATTTTTGTATCACAATTTACAAATATAAAAAATGTAAAATATTTTAATTCTAAAATTTTGAAAAACATTTTTTTCATAATTCTGTAAAAAATAAATTCTTACCCTCCCCCCCTTTCCCTTTACTGGATCCATTTATAATGAAGTAAAATATAATAAATAAAAAATAACAAAAGACATAATAAAATGACAATAAAAAAATCAAAATGTCCAAAAAGGAATGTTAAAATTTTTGTTAAAAATTCCTCAGAATTTAATTGTGTTGTCTCATCTTTAATATTAGCATAGGACGGTGTTGTATTTACACTAAAATATAATTCTACATTTGTTATTGATGATCGACTACTTGAAATCATTGAATTATTATTATTATTATTATTATTATTTATAATAATAGGACAATCAGAATGTTTAAAATTATTTTTATCAAAAAATTGATCATTTATTGTAATTTTTTCATTCGGTAAAATATTTTCATAAGCTGGTATTTCATTTGCTGTTGTATTAAAATTTTCATTTAATATTGAATTTTTTAATAAAATTTCCCTTTTTAATTCATTTTCTCTATTAAATTTTAATTCAATTATTTCTTTTTTATTTTTATCGGGAAAATTTATTTTTTGATGAAATTTACATTGTGAATTTAAATAGGTTTCAACTTTGTCGATAATATCATGTTTTTCAAAATGAATTTTTCTATTTAAATCAATTGAAGACGATAAATTTGATTCGCAATTGATTTTATTAAAAGAAAATGGAATTATTTCTTTTGTTATAGAATCAAATTCAATTTTATCAGAAGAATTGTATTTAATTTTATTAATAGATTCGGATTTTATTTTATTTGTTTCAATTTTACGAGGAGAATTTGAATTAATTTTTTCAGTAGTAGAATTTGTCAATTCCATAGAATTATATGGAAAATTTTTATTAGAATTAGATTTAATTTTTAAATTAGAATCTCTTGTAATTTTAGTGGCATTCGTTTTTGTTTTATCAAAAGAATTTGTTTTCATTTTGAAATTAATTTTAATATCAGAATTAGTTTCAATTTTGTTTTCGGAATTTTTTTGAATTTTCCAATTAGAATCATAATTAATTTCTTCATTTGATTTGAAATTAATTTTATCCATAGATTTTAATTCACTAATTTCAGAATTGAAATTAATTTCCCTGTCTTCGATAAATCCAAAATTTTCATAAGAATTTATTGAATTTTTTTCATCAGGTGTTGAACCACAGGTACATAAAATTGAATTTTCACTTGAATTCGAACTTATTTCGAATAATGATGATGATGACGATGATGATGATTCCACACTTGTTGGATTTAATATTTTGTTTTCAATTTCTTTTTCATTATTAATTCCAATTGATGATGATAATGATGATGATGATTTTTCGATAATTTTGTTTTCAATTTTCATTTTTATTCCATTGCATGGAATTTCAATAAGTTGCACTGAACATTTTTCCCAATGTTTAAAATAAATTTTCACACCAATTTTCAATTCATCATTGATACGATAGTGAATGCAAAGATCGTCAATTTTAAACATTGCAATATCGAGATTTGTGAATTTTTTCCCCATAAAGCCAATAAGGGGAAATTCATTTTTTATTATTGATGAATTTCTTTTGAGAATATAAAGTGCTTCGCCAATTATTGGTAAAATTTGAGAATCAATTGCCACCCAAATTGAAGATATTCCCGTTGATTTCTGAAATTTTAATTAAATTTAAAAATTAATTAATTTTTAATAATTAAATAATAATTATTATTATAATTAAATAATAATTATTATAATAATTAAATTATAATTATTATTATAATTAAATTACAAAAATTAATTTCTTAATTAAATTGCAATAAAAAAAATTATTTACAAAATAAAAATTAGATAATTTTAATTAATTATAATAATAATAATAATAATAATAATATATAGTAAACTTACCGAGGAGATTTTTATAATTTTCCCTGCAGGACAATAATGAGGACAAATTTGTGAATGATCGTAAAGATTCATTGATTTTAAACATGTTAGAATATTTTTTGGATATTTTATTCCACAATTTGATTTGTAAATTTTTTTCCTGCAAAAAAAAATGAAAAATCAATATTTTTTTTTATTTAATTTAACAAATAAAAAATAATTAACTCAAAAATAGAAAATTATCATAATAAGTAAATAAATTAAATGAAAAAAAAATTCCTTTATCAAAAAAACAAATATTAAAATAATTAATAATTATACAAAAATATTATATATAATAAATAATAATACTATTATATAATTATAAAAATAATAATAATAATAATAATAATAATAATAATAATAATAATAGGTAATAATAATAAAAAATAATACAAAAATAATAAAAAAAAAATAATAATAATAAAAAATAATAAAAAAATAATAAAAAAAAAATAATAATAATAAAAATAATAATAGGGGATAATCATTAAAAAATTATAATAATAATAACATATTTTATGCATCAGTGAAATATTTTTTTTTAAATTGTATCTAAATATACGATAAAATTACGAATTTTAATGAAATTAGAAAAAAAATTACAAATTTTAATAAAATTTTAATTATACTTGAAATTCGTTTTTTTATTATATTAAAATTATCTTTGGGGAAAATATTAATATTTCCAAAATAAAATATTTATTATTTATTAATATTTAATAGTTATTTTTTTATAATAATTAATCTGCTAAATATTTAACTAGCAAAATTAAACGCGCGCCGAAATTAGGAATTTAATTGTTTATTATAAAGAAATTAAAATTAATATTATCAATAATATTTTTAATTTATTATAATATTATTACATTGTTAATAATAATTCCTTAATTTTTATCAAATAGAAAAAAATATTTCTTGATTTTTTTTTTGATTATCTGTCGATAATTTTTCAGAAATTATTCAAGAAAATTTTCGATTTAAAATTTAAATTGATAAAATTTTTAATATAACATATATCGGAAAAAGGTCTTGTAAAAATTTCTTATCATCAAAATATTTATCATTAAATAAAATTTTTTATTTTTTATTCTATAATAATAAATAATAATAATTATTATTATTAATCTATTATATAAAATATATAAATTTTCAATTGCCTATAATAAAAAAAAATATTTTGCAAAAAAAAAATTATAACCAAAAAATAATAAAAATATTTGTTATTAAATGAAATTTTTTATTTTTTATTATTATTATAATAATAAATAATAATAATTATTATTAATAAATTTAAATTAATAAATAATTTATAAATTATTTAAATTTAATATTTAATATATATTATTCAATATTCCTAATTAATTAATTAATGTAACATATATAAATATATATAAAATATAATAATTAAAATTTTATTTTAAATAAAAATTATTTTAAAAAATTTTATATTAAGTTAATATTTAAAAATAAAAATTATTAAAAAAAATTAATATTTAGTCAAAATTAAAAATTTATATTTATATATAATATAAATTTTTTTAATTATAATAACAAAAATAAATAAATATTTTGTGAAAATAAAAAAAAATTTAATTTGTATTATATAATATAAATAATAAATATAATATAAATAAATAAATAATATAAAATTTTTTTTATTATTTTTAAAATTAATTAAATTATTGTGATGTAATTAAATAAATTTTTGAAATTTGATAAAATTATCAACTTATGCAACTTACTCTAACAGCAATCGAATCAATTTTTCTCACAATCCTCACAATTTTTTTTGCACGATTCTAACAATTTTATAATTTTTAATAATTAAAATACGACCGCACAAATGACAATGTCAAAACATTGAAAAATTTTAACCAACACAAAATAATGTCAAACAACACATTTAAAAAAAAACAAAAGACCTATAACAAATACTAACTTCAGGTGTGGACAGAATGAACGAAAGATATTCACGATTATTATTATTAATAATAATTAATTTTTTTAATATTTAATATTTGATATTTAATATTTAATAATTAATAATAATATTTAAATTTAAAAATTTTAATTTTGAAAAAATTATTTTATATTGTATAAATATTTTAAAAATTTGAAAATTCCAAAAGATAATAAAATCAGTAGCAATTTTTTTTTTTTATTAATTTGTTTAGACGCTTATTAAGAAAAATTATTTTTTTTTTCTTTTGTTCAAGGTGAATGAAATGGCTTCCTGGAGTATTTGAATATTTTTAGTTTGCGAACAAAAAAAAATTCCTTCTTTCTCAATTTTTTTGTTATATTTTAGTTTTTTCATTTTGGGAGTGTTAAAAAAAAAATTTTTTTAAATCGCTATCGTTTTAAAATTATTAGGAAAAAAAAATTTTTTTTTTTAATTATTAATTATTATATTTTCAACGATTAATGCTTATAAGTGTCTGCAATTATCAACAATTAATAATATATTAATAAAAATTTGAATTGTTGTAATTTTTTTTTTTTTTTAATTTAATAATTTTTTAATATATATATATTTGAAATTATTTAGTAAATTTTTGAAGTTAATACTTTTTTTTCAAACTATCAAATTTTTAAAACTATTTGCATTTATTTATTAACTTACAAATTTTACCGAATTTTTTAAAGACGCCGATTTTTTATTTGTCCGAAATTACAAAATGACCGAACAGTTGGCAAAAAAAAATTTCGGTAAAATAATAAAAATAATAATAATACTTCAAATTTCCGAAACTGAGACATTTTGACCGAGGAAGTGGAAATTTGGCACACTTGTATATTTTTTTTTTTTGTATAGTTTGAAAAATTAATGAAAATCAAATTGAATTTAAAAATAAAAGAGAAACGGAATTAAAATAAAATGGTTAAATTTTGTAAATAATTATAAAACAAAAAAATTGTTTGTGTAAATTTTTTATTACATTTTTTATCTAATACATAACATCGCCTCGCAGTATTTGCCCAATAATAACATCGTTCATTGGAGTCGCGATATTTTGAGCTAGAAACTTTTATTTAAATCTGTTAATTGAGAGACAAAAAACAAATTATTTTTTTTTTGCAGAAAAAGTTGATTTCTTCTGTCAATTCTTCTCTTTTTTTTCTCTTTTCTTTCTTTTTTTATTTTCTCTCTCTCTCTCTGTCTCGAATAATAATCCTCCGCAAAAAAAAATTGTCAAAAAGAAATCAACTTTAACATTTTTCATCTCTATTATTTTTTTTTTATTTTGTTCTTGGCGAGAGAATCTTTCTCTCTTTCTTTCTTTCTCATTTCTCGGTGCTCTCACTAAAATTTCGACGCAATGATTTATTTTTTTCGGAAAAAAAGAAAATCCCCCCCCAAAGGGATTGTCTCATTCATCGGAATCTGTTTTTTTTTTTTTTTTTTTAATTAAAAAACAGATTGCAAATTAATCGTTGCGTCGGAATTGTAAAAAAAAAAAAAAAAGAAAACACTGTCGGTTTCTTGGCTTTTCTCACTTTTTTTTTTTTTTTTTTTTTTTTTCTTTTTTTTGAATGAAGATTTTTAATGAAGAAATTGATGTAACGCTATTTTTATTATTTTTTTTTTAAAAAAAAACGAAATAAAAGTCAAGATCGATTTTTTTTTAATATGTTAAATTTTTAAAATTTTTTACTGCTTGGCGAGTGTTTCTGCTTTTTGTACGACCTCTTCGATTGGTCCAACCATGTAGAAAGCGACTTCAGGAAGATGATCGAGTTCACCGCCGAGAATCTTTTGGAATCCCTTAATTGTTTCTTGAAGTGGTACAAGCTTGCCGGCGTGGCCTGTAAAGACCTCAGCGACCTAAATTTTTCAAAAAAAAAATTAATTTCGATTAAAATTAATTAAATTAAATTAAAATTAAAATTAAAATTAAAATTAAATTCAATTTTAATTAAAATTAAAATTAATTTTAGATAATTTTTAAAAAATAATTGAATTTTTGACGATTTGCAATTTTTTTTTTTTAAATAAATGAATTTCAAGGAAAATTTGTAATTTTCAAAATAATAATAATAATAATAATAATAATAATAATAATAATAATAATAATAATAATAATAATAATAATTGAATTTTGAAAAAACTAGAGTTTGTATTAAATATTATTTTGTTTTTTTAATTTAATTTATTTTTATTTTGTAAAATAAGTCGAAAAAATCGATTTATTTTTAATAAAAATTAGTAAATATTATTATTATTATTATTTTTATTAATAATTATTGTAAATTAATTATTAATTAAGTAGTAAAATTTTGCAAAATTTTTTATGTAAATTATTGAAATTAAGAAATTGGGGCAAAATTACTTTTTTTTTTTGTTACAATTGTTATTTTTTTTGTAAAATTGTTATTTTTTTCTTAGAATTATTATTTTCTATTAAAATCGATTATTTTTTTGTTACAACTGTTACTTTTTTGTTTAAAATTGTTTTTTTTCTACAATTGTTTTTTTTACAATTGTTATTTTTTTTTGTTACAATTGTTTTTTTTTGTTACAATTATTTTTCTCTTAGAATTATTAGAATTAAAATTAAATTAAATTTTAATTAAAATTAAAATTAATTTTAGATAATTTTTAAAAAATAATTGAATTTTTGACGATTTGCAATTTTTTTTTTTTTTAAATAAATGAATTTCAAGGAAAATTTGTAATTTTCAAAATAATAATAATAATAATAATAATAATAATAATTGAATTTTAAAAAAACTAGAGTTTTTATTAAATATTATTTTGTTTTTAATTTAATTTATTTTTATTTTGTAAAATAAGTCGAAAAAATCGATTTATTTTTAATAAAAATTAGTAAATATTATTATTAATATTTTTATTATTAATAATTATTGTAAATTAATTATTAATTAAGTAGTAAAATTTTGCAAAATTTTTTATGTAAATTATTGAAATTAAGAAATTGGGGCAAAATTACTTTTTTTTTTTTGTTACAATTGTTATTTTTTTTGTAAAATTGTTATTTTTTTCTTAGAATTATTATTTTCTATTAAAATCGATTATTTTTTTGTTACAACTGTTACTTTTTTGTTTAAAATTGTTTTTTTTCTACAATTGTTTTTTTTACAATTGTTATTTTTTTTTGTTACAATTGTTTTTTTTTGTTACAATTATTTTTCTCTTAGAATTATTAGAATTAAAATTAAATTAAATTTTAATTAAAATTAAAATTAATTTTAGATAATTTTTAAAAAATAATTGAATTTTTGACGATTTGCAATTTTTTTTTTTTTTAAATAAATGAATTTCAAGGAAAATTTGTAATTTTCAAAATAATAATAATAATAATAATAATAATAATAATTGAATTTTAAAAAAACTAGAGTTTTTATTAAATATTATTTTGTTTTTAATTTAATTTATTTTTATTTTGTAAAATAAGTCGAAAAAATCGATTTATTTTTAATAAAAATTAGTAAATATTATTATTAATATTTTTATTATTAATAATTATTGTAAATTAATTATTAATTAAGTAGTAAAATTTTGCAAAATTTTGTCTTATGTAAATTATTGAAATTGAGAAATTGCGGCAAAATTACTTTTTTTTTTTTGTTACAATTGTTATTTTTTTTGTAAAATTGTTATTTTTTTCTTAGAATTATTATTTTCTATTAAAATCGATTATTTTTTTGTTACAACTGTTACTTTTTTGTTTAAAATTGTTTTTTTTCTACAATTGTTATTTTTTTTTTGTTACAATTGTTTTTTTTACAATTGTTATTTTTTTTTGTTACAATTGTTTTTTTTCGTTACAATTATTTTTCTCTTAGAATTATTAGAAAGAAGTTCGATATAAAAAAAAAAAACAAAAAGTCATCCGAGACTTGAAAATAATTGGAAAAAAAAAAAAAATTCGAAATTTCCAACATACCTGGAATGGCTGAGAAAGGAACCTTTGGATTTTACGTGCACGCGAAACAGTTAATTTATCCTCCTCGGACAATTCATCCATACCAAGAATTGCAATAATATCCTGTAGTGATTTATAATCTTGTAAAATTTTTTGTACACCACGCGCAATATTATAATGTTCACCGCCAATAATATTTGGATCCATAATACGTGATGTCGAATCAAGTGGATCGACAGCTGGATAAATACCCAATTCGGCAATTGCACGTGACAATACAGTTGTCGCGTCTAAATGAGCGAATGTTGTCGCTGGCGCAGGATCAGTTAAATCATCAGCTGGCACATAAATTGCCTGTACCGATGTAATTGAACCTTTTGTTGTTGTTGTAATTCTCTCCTGCATTGTACCCATGTCAGTTGCCAATGTTGGCTGATAACCTACGGCCGATGGAATACGTCCCAACAGAGCCGATACCTGAGAAATTTTGAAAAAAAAAAAAAAAATTTTTTTAAACTTCAATTGCAATAAAAAGGGTCAAAAAAAAATATTCATTTAAATTTAAACTTTTTTTTCTCGAAAATATTTAATTAGAATTAGAATTAAATTAATTATTTAATAGAATTTTTATTGGCTAGAATTTTCATTTTATTCTTTCAGATGAATTTTCATTTAATCGAAAACTCGAAAAATTATTTAATAGAATTTAAAAATCGCGCCAAAATCGATTGTTTCGGTCATTTGCAATTTCGGACAAATGAAAATTCAAAAATCAATTAGAAATTCTGTTAAATAATTTTTCGGCTTAAAAATTCAGCAGAAAAATCGGTTTTTTATGAAAATTATATGAAATAGTAATTCGAATAAATGAAAAATTCATCATAAAGAATAAAATGAAAATTCAATGCAATGAAATTAAATGAAAATTGGAGTAAATAAAAATTCTGACAAATAAAAATCTGAATAAATAAAAATTTTGTGAAATGAATTTTTGGTTATTGAAAAATTTTGGTAATATAGAAAATTAGGAAAACAAAGAAAAAAGAAGAAAAAAGGAAAAAAGAAGAAAATTAGGAAAACAGAAGAATAAGAAAAAAAGAAGAAAAATAAGGAAAACAGAAAGAAAAAAGAAGAAAATTAGGAAAACAAAGAAAAAAGAAGAAAAAGAAGAAAAATAAGGAAAACAGAAAGAAAAAAGAAGAAAATTAGGAAAACAGAAGAAAAAAGGAAAAAAGAAAAAAAAGGAAAAAAAAGAAGAAAAATAAGGAAAACAGAAAGAAAAAAGAAGAAAATTAGGAAAACAAAGAAAAAAGGAAAAAAGAAGAAAAATAAGGAAAACAGAAAGAAAAAAGAAGAAAATTAGGAAAACAAAGAAAAAAGGAAAAAAGAAGAAAATTAGGAAAACAGAAGAAAAAGAAAAAAAGAAGAAAAATAAGGAAAACAGAAAGAAAAAAATTAGGAAAACAGAAGAAAAAGAAGGAAAAAAGAAAGAAGAAAATTAGGAAAACAGAAGAAAAATAAGGAAAAAAGAAAGAAGAAAATTAGGAAAACAGAAGAAAAATAAGGAAAAAAGAAAGAAAAAAGAAGAAAATTAGGAAAACAGAAGAAAAAAGGAAAAAAGAAAGAAAAAAATTAGGAAAACAGAAGAGAAATAAGGAAAACAGAAAGAAAAAAGAAGAAAATTAGGAAAACAGAAAAAAAAAGAAAACAGAAGAAAAATAAGGAAAACAGAAAGAAAAAAATTAGGAAAACAGAAGGAAAAAAGAAAGAAGAAAATTAGGAAAACAGAAGAAAAATAAGGAAAAAAGAAAGAAGAAAATTAGGAAAACAGAAGAAAAAAGGAAAAAAGAAAGAAAAAAATTAGGAAAACAGAAAAAAAAGAAAACAGAAGAAAAATAAGGAAAACAGAAAGAAAAAAGAAGAAAAAGGAAAAAAGAAGAAAATTAGGAAAACAGAAGAAAAAAGAAAAAAAGCAAGAAAAAAGAAGAAAAATAAGAAAGAAAAAAATTATGAAAACAGAAGAGAAATAAGGAAAACAGAAGAAAAATAAAGAAAACAGAAGAAAAATAAGGAAAAAAGAAGAAAAAGGAAAAAAGAAGAAAATTAGGAAAACAGAAGAAAAAAGAAAAAAAGAAAATTAGGAAAACAAAGAAAAAAGGAAAAAAGAAGAAAATTAGGAAAACAGAAGAAGAAAGGAAAAAAGAAGAAAAATAAGGAAAACAGAAAGAAAAAAGAAGAAAATTAGGAAAACAGAGGAAAAAATGAAGTAAAGAAAGAAAAAAGAAGAAAAATAATTTACGGTTTCTCAGTATTGTGATTGTTATACCGTTCGTTTTTTTTTAAATAACTAATTTAATATCTCTATTTTTTTCTATTGATTGTAAAATTTTAATTTTAATTTTAATTTTCTAATTTTAGTTTTAATTTTTTTTTTCTACTCTTTATAAATTTTATAATTAATTTTTTTTTTTTTTTTGTAAATACTGCAAAAAAGGTATTGAGAGATAGTTTTTTTTGTAATTTTTTTTTTTTTTTTGTTTGAAAACTATTTTTGTACGCACCTCAGATCCGGCTTGTGTGAATCTGAAAATATTGTCAATAAAGAGTAACACATCCTGTCCTTCCTGATCGCGGAAATATTCGGCAACAGTGAGACCGGTTAAGGCAACACGAGCACGTGCACCAGGTGGTTCGTTCATTTGTCCATACACAAGGGATACTTTTGATGTTTTATCCTTTAGTGAAATAACACCTGACTCAATCATTTCCTGATATAAATCGTTACCCTCACGTGTACGTTCACCAACACCGGCAAACACTGAATAACCACCGTGAGCTTTTGCAACATTATTAATTAACTCCATAATTAATACAGTTTTACCGACACCGGCACCACCGAATAATCCTGAAATTTTTTTTTTAGTAAACATTTTTTTTTATTTTTTATACAAAATATTTATTATTATTCTTTCGTTTTGTAATTTAAATTAAATTCTTTTGTTTTTGAATTAAAATTAAATTAAATTCTTTCGTTATGGAATTTAAATTAAATTCTTTTGTTTTTGAATTAAAATTAAATTAATTCTTTCGTATTGGAATTAAATTAAATTAATTTTTTCGTATTGGAATTAAATTAAATCTTCCGTTTCGGAATTAAATTAAATTCTTTTGTTTTTGAATTAAATTAATAATTCTTTAATTTTGGAATTAAATTAATTCTTTCGTATTGGAATTAAATTAAATTAATTCTTTCGTATTGGAATTAAATTAAATTAATTCTTTCGTATTGGAATTAAATTAAATTAATTCTTTCGTATTGGAATTAAATTAAATTAATTCTTTCGTATTGGAATTAAATTAAATTAATTCTTTCGTATTGGAATTAAATTAAATTAATTCTTTCGTTCCGGAATTAAATTAAATTCTTTTGTTTTGGAATTAAAATTAAATTAATTCCTTCATTTTGGAATTAAATTAATTCTTTCGTATTGGAATTAAATTTAATAATTTTTTTTTTTGTTTTGAAATTAAATTCTTTTGGAATTGGAATAATTAAATTTGATTAATATAATTTAATTTAATTAATAATTAATCGTTAGATTTGATTAAATAATTAAATTTGAATGTGAATTTTTAAATTGTTACCAATTTTTCCTCCCTTTGCATAGGGAGCAAGAAGATCGACGACCTTAATTCCCGTGACAAGAATTTCCTGTTCGACGGACATTTCAACGAATTCGGGTGCATCGGCGTGAATAGCGGCGAGTTTATCAGTTGGTACGGGACCGCGTTCATCGATTGGTTCACCAATTACGTTGATAATACGTCCCAATGTTTCGGCACCAACTGGAATTCTAATTGGAAATCCAGAATCGGCGACAACTTGTCCTCGAACTAAACCTTCGGTACCTGTACAATTTTGCAAAAAAACAAATAGTTTTTTTTTAAAAAATAGTTTTTAAAAAAAAAATAGTTATTTTTAAAAAATAGTTTTTTTTTTAAAAAAAGATGTTTTTTTATTTCCGCGAAATTTAAAAAATAGTTTTTTTAAAAAAAAAGATGTTTGTTTATTTCCGCGAAATTTAAAAAATAGTTTTTTTTTAAAAAAAGATTTTTTTTTATTTCCGCGAAATTTAAAAAACCAAATTTTACTTTCGGCAAAAAAATGAACGAAAAAAACAAATATTTAGACAAAAAAAAGAAATTTGGTTTTTTAGTTTCTTTTTCTTTAAAGTGAAAATTATAAATGAAATGAAATTTTTTTTTTTTACCGTCCATGGCAATGGTGCGCACTGTATTCTCTCCCAAGTGCTGAGCGACTTCGAGAACTAATCTCGGTGTTCGATTTTGAACCTCGAGGGCGTTAAGAATTGGAGGAAGTTCATCGTCGAATTGAACGTCGACGACGGCACCAATTACGGCGACAACGCGACCCTGTCCGCCTTTTGCTGCCTTCGCATAGTTGCGATCTGTTAAGAAAAAGAAACAAAAAAAAAAGAAAAAGTGTTAAAAATTTATATAAATTTACAGTAAGTGAAATTTTCAAAAAAAAAAATATTATTGTCATTATTACAGTTTTTTAATATTATTATTATTATTATTATTATTATTAAATTAGTAAAAAAAGGAAATTTTACATTTCACTAAGTCGAATTTTCAAAAATATTATTATTAAAATTATTATAGTTATTATTTTTATTATTATTAAAAAAAGGAAAATTTATATTTGAAAGTTAGTGAAATTTTTAAAAATTCTATAATTATTACAGTTTTTTATTATTATTATTATTATTATTATTATTATTATAATTATTATTAGAAAAAAATGGAAATTTTACAAATACAGTAAGTGAAATTTTCAAAAATATTATTGTTATAGTTATTATTATTATAAAGTGGTTTTTAAAAATTCGGGAACTTAAAATTTTCCTTAATAATTTCTAATTGATTGAATTTTAAAAATCGCGCCAAAATAATTTAAATAAATAATTTTCGGTGAATTTGAAAATTATTTTTGAATATTTTAATAATAATGATATTAATTTAATAATAATGATATTAATTTAATAATAATTATAATATTATTTTTTATAATAATTATTAATAATTAATAATTAAATAATAATTATTAATAATTATTAATAATAATAATAATAATAATAATTGACACTAAATTTTTCGATTAAATAATTGATATGAATTTACAAAAAATTAAATAATTTTAAAAATTTCGTTAATAATTCAATAAAACAAATTAAAATAAAATCTTTAAATGATAAATAAAATAATTAAAAAAATTTTTTTAATAATAAATTGAAATAATTAAAATAATCTTCAAATAATAAATGAAAAAAAAAAAATTAAAGTAATATTTAAATAATCAATAAAAAAAATAAATCGAAATTTTTCTCCTACTTATTTAATAAAATTTTTTTTACTTTATATTTAGTAATTTAAATAATTGAAATTAATATCGAATAATTGAAATTTTTTTTAATATAATCAATAAAATAATTATTATTGAAATTATCTATCAAATAATCAATAATAAAATCAATTAAATAATCTTCAAGTAATCGATAAAATAATTATTCAGACATTTTTTTTTTTAAATTATTTTAATTAATAAATTAAGGGACAAATCGTCGTTTTTTTTTTTTGGCGGGGAACAAAAATTAATTTAAATAAAAATATATGATTAGAAAAAAAAAATTAATTAATATAATAAAATTTTGAAAATAAATTTAAAAAAATATACAAGGAAATTTAAGTTAAAGCAGAGATTATTATTATTATTAATTATTAATTTAATACAATTAAAAGAAAATTTAAATTAAAATAAAAATTTAGCGCTAGAAAAATTGGGTTAAAACAAAAATTAATTAAATAAAAATATATGATTAGAAAAAATAAATTAATTAATATAATAAAATTTTGAAAATAAATTTAAAAAAATAAAAAAGGAAATTTAAATTAAAATAAAAATTTAGCGCAAGAAAAATTGGGTTAAAACAAAAATTAAATAATAATTAATAATACAAATGTTGAAAAAATTATTAATAAAAAAATGAATTAAAAATATAATTAATAATAATTAATAATAATAATAATAATAATAATAATTAATATTCATTTACACAATTAAAAGAAAAATGGAAATATAATAAAAATTTAGGGCAGGGAAAATTATATAAAATGAAAATTCGAGACAGGTAAAAAAAAAAAAAAATGAAATTCTGTACAAGGAAAATTTTTTTTTTTTTTTAATGAAAATGGAAAATTCGAGACAAGGAAAATGAGTAAAAATAGAAAATTTCCAAATGAGCAAAAAAAAAAAAATTAGGATAAAATAAAAATTGAGTTAAAAGTAACAAAAAAAAAAATGTACGTAAATTTTTTACGTAAAAATTAAGGAAAAATCAGTTAAAAAATGAAAATTAATTTTAAAAAAAGTTTATTTTACTTCATAGATCATTAACAATACAAGAAAAATTCATACACAGTTTAAAAAAAAAAAAAAAAAAAAAAACACATGACGGAACACGAGTTACATAACCAAAGAAATTAGACACACGACCCACAAATAAATTTATATCACAAAGTAAATGTTACACTAAAAATTTATTTAACATAACAAAACAAAAATAGAATTTTTCATTCAAAAACAAAAAAAAACATTTTTTTTTAAATATTACACCGGAAGTGAATACAAATGGCACTGCAAAGAAATATATTTCCTTCTCACTTCTTTAAAATTCAAATAATAAAATAACAAAACACTTTTTTTTCTCACTAATTTCATTTTTTTTTTCACTAATATAAAAAATATAATAGAAAAATCAACAATTTGTGCCAATTGACCTGAAAGTCGCCATTTTTTTTTTTACTTACTCCAACAACCCGAATAATATTATATAATCGGCCTTTTTTTTTTTTACTGCTTAATCCTTGTGACAGAAAGTAATTATCGATTATTGTTGATTGTAATTTAGAGAAAATGACAATCAATTGGCGTTCATTTATTTTTGTTGAAGTGGCAAAAAAAAAAAAAGGAGGAGTAAATTGTATTGCGGCAAGTGCGGCGCTGTCCGACATTTTTTAAACCCCCCCTAACGTGAGAAAAAGATTTTTGGGGAAGAAAGTTTAGAAATTTTTTTTTTTTTTATTCTGAGTACTCACTGTTAGCGGATAATGATGCTGATACTTTGGCGACTTCATTTTGTAAAAGGGCAGGTTTTACGGCCCTTAATGCGCCAGCGGCTGCTTTTGTCACGGCACTCAACAACATGGTCGATCGAGTGAAGAGCAGCAGCAGCAGAAAACTGTTCCACGTTCTCCAGTTGAGAAAAATGTTTGCGCATGCGTTAAAAATTAACGCATGCGCTATTTTAGATGGGCAGAGTTAGGTAGGTTTCGGAAAAAACTGTGAGTATGTAATGTTTGAGATACGCGTGTTACAGTCAAGGGTGTGTTTACATGAGTGCGTTCCAATAGTGAGAGAAAGAAAGATATGTATTTTCGTCTTTGTCACACTCATTGTTTTATCTAAGGCTGTATCCACAATAAGAATTTTCAGCGTTGTTCGCGAAAGATACAGGTAAGTTACGCGAATGTTTTGTGGAATTGCCAACTACTGGAAAAAAAATTTCGCTTTGTTTTGAACGTGGATACATAACCTCCAAATTAATTTCGGTAAAGGAATCGAATAACAAACACAACTTTATAATATTATATTATCGTTTATTATTATTATTTTAATTATTAATTATTAATTAAAAGTTTTAAAGGTATGACAAATTAATGACATTCTTTCAATCAGGTGTCGTTACCGAAATTAATTTGGAGGTTATGTATCCACGTTCAAAACAAAGCGAAATTTTTTTCCAGTAGTTGGCAATTCCGCAAAACATTCGCGTAACTTACGTGTACCTTTCGCGAACAACGCTGAAAATTCTTATTGTGGATACAGCCTAAAACGCAGAGTTTAAACGCAGATATGTAAACACAGCCTTAAAATATGAAAATAGTACCTTAATGTTAGAATAGAATAGATTTTTAAACGAAAAGTTGGTTTTCATTGTCCCCTTACATTGTCATAATTCTCCTCAACTACCGCACCCTGCTCTAGTAAAAATTTAGTAACTTTTAACTTTAAAAATAAAGTCACTAAATTTTTTTACTAGAGCATGGTGCGGTAGTTGATAAGAATTATGACAAATTGCGAGTGGGGACAATGGAAACCAACCGGAAGTGTGTGTGTGTGTTAGAAAAGGATGGCATATAACAGAAAACTGTGAGTTTTAAGCTCCCTCCACAATAGACCCCTTACATTAACATAACATAGAATAAAATTAATAAAAAAAAATATATTACATTCCTTATACTATGTTAACATAAGAAGTCCATTGTGAACACATCCTTTTTTAACACACACACACTTCCGGTTGGTTTCCATTGTCCCCACTCGCAATTTGTCATAATTCTTATCAACTACCGCACTCTGCTCTAGTAAAAATTTAGTGACTTTATTTTTAAAATTAAAAGTTACTAAATTTTTACTAGAGCAGGGTGCGGTAGTTGAGAATTTTGAAATTTTTCTTCATTTAATTCTGTAAAATTAATCATAAACATAACCTATAATTTTTTTTCTTTTTTATTAATTTATTAACACTTTTACAAAATATATTACAATTTTTTTTTTCACAATTAGCATTACAAGGTATTTTAAATTTAAAATAATTTTGAATCATATATATTTACACGACGCGTCGTAAAAGAGTGAAGAACGAAAAGGCTGACGACAAAATCTAAGAAAAAAAAATGTATTTTCTTTTATTTTAACTATAGAAAATTAATTTAATTGCATCAAAGTTTTTAATTAAAAAAAAATGAATTTGCTTACTGAAGTAAAAGCCTGTAACGACATATAAGCAAACTTTCCTGCTGATAAATAAGCAAATTTTTGAGATCGAAACGTAATGATTTCAATAAGTTGTCTTTCTTTTTTTGTCCAACCATACCATGGAGAATTATAAGCACTGAATCCAATACTCATACTCTGCAATAAATAAATTGCAAAAAAAAAAAATAGAAGAAAAACAAAAATTTTGTTATGCGTAAAATTGGGATTTTATATTCTACAAACAATAAATATACGTGACGTACTTTGAAGCAAAGAACCTAAGAAGTAAAAAATTATAGGTTATGTTTATGATAGTTTTACCTTTTTATTTTAATTCTGTAAAATCAAAATCAACTTTTGCTGAATTAATAAAACTTAAACACCAATTTATTGTAGTGAGAGTTGAGCATTTTTATGAATTCTAACTCCCAACGATCATAAACATAACCTATAATTTTTTGCTCTTTTGTCCAATTTTTAAAGCGAATCACATATAGGGGATCGAAAATTTCAGTAGAAGATAAATTATTATTATTATTATTACAATTAGGGTACGACCACAGCTCAGCTATCTATGTCGGGTCGTCATGGTAACGTATAAGAGTGAGAGAAATAAGAACATTCTTTATTTCTCTCACTCTCATGCGTTACCATGACGATCCTAAATTGGTAGCTACGGTGTGGCCGTACCCTTATTTTTAAGAGTTCAGTACTTCGAAAAGTAGATTATTTGGTGGCCAACAGAAAATTAAAAGTTGAAAAATTCCACCAATCAAATGAACGGCATAGGTTGCAGTATTTTGTCCTCCCTAAATTAAAAAAAAAATTATTAATCTAGAAATAAAAATTCGTTAGTATTTAAAAAAAAAATTCCCGCGTACATTAACCATCAAAAAATTAAAACCAAATCCACAAATAGCAGTTATACTCAAAATAGCTTGCATTAGTACAACTGGACTGAAAACATCTTCCACTGCTGCTGAGTAACTAGAATTTTAAAATCAGATTAGAAGCATTTTTTTTTTAAATTTTAAACGAATTTTAGAATTTTATTCAATTAATTACCCTCGTAATTTTGTTTTTCTGTTTAGAAAACAACTTTGAAACAGGGACAGACAAAAAATTATAGGTTATGTTTATGATCGTTTGACCTTGATTATAAGGCTGTGTCCACAATGGACAATGTTAACATAACGAATACGAGTTCTTGTGAATTCTATTATGTTAACATATTGTGGACACAGCCTTATAATCAAGGTCAAACGATCATAAACATAACCTATAATTTTTGGCTTTCTGTTTCTTCAAAGGAAAACGAATTTTATTATAATTTTTTCCGGTTATTTATGAGAATAAGCATTCTATTATCTTAAATTACAAAAATTTATTTACTTCAAAACACGTTGATGTTGCTTTATAATTCTGACAATTTCCACAAAAGTATTATTATTCAAATTATTGTTGTTGTTGTTATTTTTTAAATCACTGTTTATTGGATTTAATTTTGATATTTGAAATTGTAATAATTTAAAATGTGCACAAGCATGAAATACAAAAAATGCAATGGCAGTATCAATTCCAATAATTGGAATAATACTCCATAATCCAGCTGGAATTTGAAGTGCATACCAAATATTGAAATATTGAACATTTTCATGAAATATTCCACTTGAATATGGCAATTCTTTACTAATAATCATTGTTCCATTTGAATTATAAATAAATTCTGATAATAATGGTTGAATTAATAATGCTAATAAGGCAAAAAATACATTTATCGAAAAACCATAAGTTAAATATAATGCTATTGATGCATAACCCGTGACTATTTCAGCTTCTTCTTTATTTTTTATATTTTCCCATAAATCATTGCAAAGATTTACTAAATTAACAAGTTTTCTTCTTTTTGGTAATAGTAACATCACTATATATATATATGTTTAGAAAATTATTTATTAATTTTAATTTTTTTATTGGGATGTCCGTTACTGTGAAACGCTATCTGTTGAAAATTTTTTCAACTATTTTTTTGTCCAAAAGTGACTTTAGAGACATAGTGGCGAAAAATGGTACTACAAAACGCCTCCAGTGGACATCCCAATATTAGACAAAAAAAAATGAATACCTTGAAAAGCAACGACTAAAATTTCAATAAGATCACAAAAAATATTTAAAATTTTTGTTGTAGCCATAATTTTTAGACGTGATATCATTATATAGAAACCGGGAAGTGTTAAAAATAAACAAGTACAAATGGACATTAACATAAAAATACCATTGACAAAAAATCCCCATGTTAAAAATGGCATAACGCCACAAAATTGAAGAAAAAATTTATTAATTCGGAAATATTTCAAAAAATCACGATTGTACATTATTATATTTTTTTATATTATTTATCATAGGTGAAAATTTATTTCACTTAAATAAGAATATGAGATATATAAGAAAGTTTTTTTTTCAGAATTAAAAAGTTGTTTTTCTAGAGAAAAAAGTAAATTTATTTCAAGACCTCGGGAATTATTTTCTGTTGAGATTTTTTTGCCGTTCAATTTTTTTTTGGGGGAGGGCTACATTAGGCTGAGAAGGTATATACGCTCTATTGAGGTACTAAATTATTAATCGCTAACTGTGATAGCCTCAGCCGGTATTAATCGATTATGCACCTGGCTGTAACATATTATTATGACTATAAAATATATTATTTCTATAATATAGGATCGAAGAAATGTTTGAAAACAACGTTTATTTGAAAAAAATAAGCGAATTTTTTTTCGGATATACTTTTGCTAACGATGAAATATATGCTTTTTCTTTATGGCTACTCAATTATTAAGCGTTACTGAGGTAACACTGGTTATAGAATTTTTTTTTTCTTTCTATCGAATATATTCAACTCTCTGCGGTAAGCGCATTTATCTAAAGTATAATTTCCCAATGATTATATAGATTATTATTTATTGTTAAAAATGACAAAATAATTATTTAATTAACTAATGAATTTACCACAAATAAATTACTAAAAAATAAGCAATAACGCTATATGTGTGACGCGGTCTTAAGAAAGAGATGTACAAAAAATTGTAGGTTATGTTTATGATAGTTTTATATTTTGTTAGTATATGTGAAAAATCAATTTTCATTTATTATTTTAGATTTATAATTGAGAGTTGATTCTTTACTTTGAGCTATCATAAACATAACCTATAATTTTTTTGGTTCGGGTTTATTTAGAGCTCGTTATATAGCATTCTTTATTCCTACATGGGAGACCATTGAGAAATCTTTAAAAAAAATTTCTGTAGAGCAAATATGTATTTTTGTCTTTTCAGTTTTTCAAAAAAACCTTTTTTTTTCCAATATCTAATAATATTTTTTTTTACTTTAACGTGACATAATTACTTTCTGTAAAGCTGCTTCTACAATTTTTTTTTCTTTGACATGAACAAAATGCACTGTTGATAAACCATGCGTGCGCATCATTTTAACAATGAATTTTCTTGTGGACGAACCTTAAGTCACTTGAAACCAGAGCTGGGAAGTTCACATATGTAAAAAGGTTGATTTCCATTTTCCTCACTCGCTTAAGGCCAACGCACAATAGCTTCGCGAAAGTCGTTCGCGAACGAGATGCATGAGATAGAAAAGGATACATATATACCTCTGTCCTTTTCTAACTCATGTTTCACGTTCGCGAACGTCTTTTGCGAAGCTATTCTGCTTAGGCCTTTATTTGTCATAATTCTCGTCATCTACTGCACCCTGCTCTAGTGAAAATTTAGTAACTTTATAGTTACTTTTAATTTTAACAAAGTCACTAAATTTTCACTAGGGCAGGGTGCGGTAGATGACGAGAAGTATGAGAAATGGCGAGTGGGGAAAAATGGAAATCAACCGCATTAATTACAGTAAAACGTCCGAAATGTGTCATTTTTCTGGGAGTTACTGGCGAAACTCTGAAATATAACAGTTTTTATTTATCAGACATGGCACATTTCGGATTCTACATAGTTTTTTTTTACTGTGCTTTCCCTATTTTATATAAATAAATTTAATTTAATTATAATATTAATAATAATCAAAGTAATAATAATATTAATAATAATAAAAATACTAAAAATAATAATAAAAATAAGAATATTTCAATCAATAATTACATTCAATAAAAATTCAATAATTTTTTTTTTCATTTTTTTTTTCATATAATTAAAGAAATAAATTAATTGATTATTACAATTTCAAAAAACAAAATTGACAAATCATTTCACAAAAATTTGTGTATTTACAAAAATACGTGTGTCTTCAATTTAAATTGATGCCTTATTACTTTTTTTTTTTTTTTTTTTTGAATTTTCTAATTACAAAAAAAAATAGGTTTAGCAATAGAAAAAAAATCACATTTTTTTTCTCAATTTTTTTTCAAATTTTTACATTAAAAAAAAAAAAAAACAGTAAAAATAATTTTTAAGATACAAAAAAAATTGTTTTCTAGTTAAAAAAAAAAAGATTATTGTTCGACTATTTAACAGTTAAAATATGGAATAAAATTTTTTGTTTTTTTATTATTATTAAACAATTTAATAATATTTCAAAATGTAAAACTGATGAATTAATACGAATTTTCTTTTTTTTTATGCTTTCGCTTTTTGAATAAATGAAAAATCTATACAATTTGACTAAATTTAACAATTTTCTAAATTTAATTTTTTTTTTCAATTTTTTTTTTCAATTTTTTTTTTTTACCAATAATTTGGAGGAAGTTCGCCTTTTGGTGGTGGTATTGTTTTTGTTGTTAGGCATTGTTTTAAAAATTCCTCTAAACGATCTAATGGACCGTCATTAATTCCACGTATTTTACTAATTATTGGATAATAATCAGTTATCATTAATGACAAAAGTTTTGGAAATTGTTTTGGATACGCTGTCCATAAATAATGTCCCGTCACTTCCAATACAACAACAATTAACGTTGCATAAATATCCGAGAATTGTGTTTGCGGTTCTGTAATGGAGGATAAATACAAAATTTTTTTTTTTTTTTTCGTTAAAAATTAACAAAAACAAAAAAAAACAAAAAAAGGAAAATACAAAAAAAGCAATAAAAAAAAAGTACAAAGAAAAATACAAAGAAAAAACAATTAAAAAAAAGTACAAAGAAAAATACAAAGAAAAAAAAAATTTTTGAAATATAATTTAAATAAATATTAAAAGAAATTAAAAATAATTTTTTTTTTGAAATTAAAAATCCAGAATAAAAATTACAAAAAATGACTGAAAAAACGGAAAAATTGAAGAAAATAAAAATTACAAAAGTTAGAAAAAATAAAAACACTAAACCAAAAAAATATAAAATGCGTAAAAAATAGAAATAAATTTAAGTAATTGTAAATAATGCTAGAAAAATATGTTAATTATTCTTTTTTTTTTTTGTAATAATAATTAATTTTGTCATAATTATTTTTGAGCCGAATTTTTATTTGTTCAAATTAGTATTTTTTGTAGAATTTTCATCAAAACGATTTTTTCTATATTACCAGAATTTTTCAATAACCGAAAATTTACTGATCACAGAATTTTTATTTTGTTCGAATTTTTATTTGTCAGAATTTTTATTTACTCGAATTTTCATTTTTAACATAATAGAACATTTTAAAGAATTTTTATTGGCTAAAATTTCATAGCATAGAATTTTCATTTTATTCTTTCAGATGAATTTTCACTTTGTTCAATTATTTAATTATTTAATGGAATTTCCATAAAAAACGATTTTTCTGCTGAATTTTTAACCGAAAAATTATTTAACAAAATTTCTAATTGATTTTTGAATTTTCATTTGTCCGAAATTGCAAATGACCGAAACACTCGATTTTGGCGCGATTTTTAAATAATCTACCAATCACAATTTTATGGATAATTTTTTTTGATTGGTTGATAATTTAAAAATCGCGCCAAAATCGATTGTTTCGGTCATTTGCAATTTCGGACAAATGAAAATTCTATCAATTAGAAATTGCGTTAAATAATTTTTCAGTTAAGTTAAAAATTCTGCAGAAAAATCGGTTTTTATGGAAATTCAATGAAATAATAATTCGAACAAAGTGAAAATTCATTTGAAAGAATAAAATGAAAATTATTCTATGCAATGAAATTTTAGCCAATAAAAATTCTTTAAAATGTTCTATTATGTTAAAAATGAAAATTCGCGTAAATAAAAATTCTGACAAATAAAAATTCGAACAAAATAAAAATTTTGTGAAGTGAATTTTCGGTTATATGAAAAATTCTACAAAAATACTAATTCTAATAAATTAAAAATTCGGCGTAAAAATTAATTACGACAAATGAAATTTTATAAAATGAAAATTCTAGAATTTTTAGAAAATAATCATGCGTTCCCTAAAAAAATAGAAATTAATTTAATTAATTGTAAATAATGCTAGAAAATTATGTTAATTTTTTTTTTCCAATAATATATAATTTATTATTAAAAAATAATTATTTTATTTTTTAATTAATAATTAATTAAGAAATAATTATTTTATTCTCTAATTAATAATTAAATAAAAAATAATTTTATTTTTTAATTAATAATTAATTAAGAAATAATTATTTTATTTTTTTAATTAATAATTAATTAAAAAATAATGATTTTATTTTTTTAATTAATAATTAATTCTGGAATTTTTAATTAATTTTTTCTTGTTGTAAATTTGTAAAAATAATTACCATTATTAAGCATTGCAGCGAGCCATCTCCATGCAAATTGTAAGCCATGTGGATGATTTTTCATAATTCCCTGCCTTTGTCTTGTGACAATAATCGATGAATAAAGTCTCATTAATCCAGTGATACGTTTTAAAAATTTTATATGATCCTCAACAATGCCATTTTCATTATATTTATAGCCTAATGATTTATAATATTCCATGTCTGTTTGTCCAGTGAGACGGGGAAAAAATACCGGTACAATAAATGGACATTTAATACGAAAATTTGCCAATAATAAATCACCAAATTCAGGCCATTCATTCCACAGTGCAACGGCAATAGCAGCTATTGGATATGCAGCTTCCGGTTTACTTGACACAACATTTTCGCCTTGACTCTAAAAATTATTTTTAATTTTTAATTTTTAAAATTCAATTTAAATAGAAATTATTTTTAAATGTTTTTATTTTCAAAATAATTTTGAGTTATTTTCAAAAATTAGAAAATTCTATTTTTTTTTTCCAAACTTACGATAATTTGAATGGCAAGAGTATTTTTAATATAAGCATCGGCTCTTGAATCCGATGATAAATTACCAGATAATACAAATCTCAATCTTTCATATTGATCTTGAAAAAATTCTTTACTCTGCAATGAGAGTGCATTAATTGGATTAATAATTTTCTTTTGCGATTGCGAACGAAATTGTTTACCCTCAATACTTTTTATATAAATTTCATATTTTTCTTTACAACTATTAATAAGTTCATCGCTTTCGACAAATATTTGCAATGATTCCTTGTCGAAAAATTTGTATAATTCAATATCTGGAAAAAAAATCAATTTATTTTCATTTTCTCACGAAAAAAAAAAAAAAATTACCTGGTGCATTTGCAGTTTCAGTTGAAGGGACATTTTCAATTTCTTCATTTACAGAATCAGTGACTTCAATGCCAAGCGGTTCGGGAACAAAAATTTCCTGTTGAATTTGCGTCAATTGATGATTTTCACGTAATTGCAATGCCTCAGCTTCTTTTAATTCTTGTTCTCTTTGAGCAATTTTTGCATCGTGCATCGCATTAATTCGTTCTGAAAAAAAGGGAATAAAAATTCTTTTTTTGGAAAAATACTTTTTTAAAAAAACGAGAAGGAAATACAATACCAATTTCAATTTTAAAATGACGCAATACTTCTTCAATATTTTGTACGGTTATTTTTGCAAATTCAAAATCTGTTACTGTAAGTCTTCCGGCCTGAAAATTATTAATTACTATTAAAATAATTAAAAAATTAAGGTAATTTAAAAGAATATAAATTAAAATTGAAATAATTTTGAAATTAATATAAATTAAAAATTTGAAATAATTTTGAAATTAATATAAATTAAAAATTTGAAATAATTTTTTAAAAAAATACAATTGAGGGGGGAAAAAATCTAATTTTTTTTTCATCTCACCCTCGCTGCACTGCCAATTGTTTCCATATGATTGCGAAATTCATGAATTTTTTCAATATAAGGCTCAATAATATATTTTTCCTTACATGAATTTGTTAATAATTCAAAATCACGAAATTTCTCATGAAAATTATTTTGTATCATTATCATTTCTTCTTGTTCTTTAATTTTTTTTCTCTCCTCCTCAGCGTCGCGTTCAAGTTTTTCCTTTTGTTCTTTAATTCTTTGCGCCAATAATTGTTGTTCATGTTTACGACGTAATTCCATTTGTTGTGCTTGTCGTTCCTCTTCGGCTTCTAAACGTGAAAGTTCATCTTTTCTCACTTGTTCACGTTGCACCGATAATATTGAATGATAAATTTCAATTTCTTTTCGCGATGCACTCAATGAACGTTCCATTTCTTCGATGCGTTTACGCATTTTTTGCTGTTCGAAAAAGAAAAAAAAAAAAGAATTAAAAAAGTAATTATTATTATATAATAATAAAATGCTTGGTCTTCTGCCCGTGTCAAATTTTGACAATTCTTTTTCTCATTTTTGCCAAAGTTGTATAATTGTGTTTCCAAATTTCGGAATAAGTTTCTTTCAAAATTCCAAATTCGAAAATTCAATTCACAAAGCTGAAGTACACAACGTTTACCAACGAAAATTTTTTTAAAAGTTGTATATTAATTCAAAAATTGTACAAAAAATTTATGATGAGAAAAAAGATGCGCCAGGAAATTTTGTACAAGATAGTAATTTGAAAAAAAATTTATTTTTCAAAATTAATTTTTAAGGTACCAGGGGCCAACGAATACCTATTAAATATTAATTATAAAAATACAGGCCTCGAATCAACTTAAAGACACAAAAAAAGTCGTTTTAGTCGATTTATATTCCAAAATAGTGGATTTGTTTTTTATTTTAACAAAAATATTTTACAGATTTTTAAATAAAAAATTTTTTTTTTATTAATAATCATTCTCGAAGGGTTAAATTTGAAATTTTTAGAAATAATTAAATTTCAAAAGATATTGTTAATTTTCAAACAATTATTAAATTTTACACAACTAAAAATAATTTATCAAACAATTTTTGGAAAATATTTTTTAAATTTAATTGAATTTTCAAAAATTTAAAATTGAGATTTTTGAAATTAATTGAAACTTTAAGTGTTTTGTAATTAAAATTTTTTGATGATTTCACTAAAAATTTATTAGAAAATGCGGACAAAATACAATAATTTGAAAATTATTTTTAATTGAAAAATGGTTTCAGATAGTTGAATTTTCAAAGAATATTATTAAAATAGTTAAAAATAATTGAATTTCCTTAAGAGTTATAATTGAATTTATTAAATTTGAAAAAAAAAAATTTTTCGATGGAAAATTTTAGAAATAATTAAATTTTAGATGCTTTTAAATTCAAATTATTGAAAATTCAATTAATTTTGAATTCAAATTTTTGAGAATAATTAAATTTTATTTGATTTTAAATTTGGAAAATAATTGAATTTCAGTTCAATTTAAAATTGAAAATTTTTGGGAAATAATTGAATTTTAATTGAAATTTTGGATAATAATTTAATTTAAGTTCATTTTTGATTGAAAATTTGGATAATTAATTTTGAATAGGAATTTTAGAAAATAATTGAATTTCAATTAAAATTTTGCAAAATAATTGAATTTCAATTGATTTTGAATTGAAATTTTGGAAAATAATTGAATTTCAATTAATATTAAATTGAAACTTTTGAAAGTAATTGAATTTTACTTGATTTTGGATTGAAAATTTTGAAAATAATTGAATTTTAGTTGATTTTTAATTGAAATTTTGGAAAATATTTGATTTTAAATCAAAAATTTTGAAAATAATTGAATTTTAATTGATTTTAAATTGCAAATTTAATTAAATTTCAATTGAAATTTTGGAAAAAAAATTGATTTTAAATCGAAAATTTTAAAAATAATTGAATTTTTGTTAATTTTTAATTAAAATTTTAGAAAATAATTGAATTTTAGTTGATTTTGAATTGAAATTTTGGAAAATAATTGAATTTTAATTGAAATTTTGTCAGTAATTTAATTTTAGTTCGTTTTTGATTGAAAATTTTGATAAAAATTAATTTTAAATTTAATATTGAATTTTTATTGATTTTCAATTGGAATTTTAGGTAATAATTGAATTTTATTTGATTTTGAATTGAAAATTTGGTAAATAATTAAATTTTAAAAGATTTAAAATTTAAAATTTTGAAAATAATTGAATTTTATTTGATTCTGAATTGAAAATTTTGAAAATAATTGAATTTAAATTGAAATTTTAGAAAATAATTGAATTTTAGTTGATTTTGAATTGAAATTTTGGAAATAATTGAATTTTGGTCGATTTTGAATTGAAAATTTTGGAAAATAATTGAATTTCAATTAAAATTTTTCAAAATAATTGAATTTTAATTGATTTTGAATTGAAATTTTTGGGAAATAATTGAATTTTAATTAAAATTTTGGATAATAATTTAATTTAAGTTCATTTTTGATTAAAAATTTAAATAATTAATTTTGAATAGAAATTTTAGAAAATTATTGAATTTTATTTCATTTTAAATTGAAAACTTGCGGTAAATAATTAAATTTTAAATTGAAAATTTTGGATAATTATTGGATTTTTAATTGATATTGAATTAAAATTTCGGGTAATAATTGAATTTTAATTTATTTTGAATTGAAATTTTTTAAAAAATAATTCAATTTTATTGTGATATTTTTTTCTTTTTTAATTATAAACAATTGTTAAATTTCATAAAAATTTTAATTGAAAAATAATTTTGATATAGTTGAATTTTTGATGTATCTCATTAAAATTATTAAAAATAATTCATTTGGTGAAGAATCATTTTAGTTCAAAATTTGGAAAATAATTGAATTTCAGTGCATTTTAAATTGAAAATTTTTGGGAAATAATTGAATTTTAATTGAAATTTTGGATAATAATTTAATTTCAGTTCATTTTTGATTGAAAATTTGGATAGTTAATTTTGAATAGAAATTTTCAGAAAATAATTGAATTTTATTTCATTATAAATTGAAAACTTTGTAAATAATTAAATTTTAAATTGAAAATTTTGGATAATTATTGAATTTTAATTGATTTTGAATTAAAATTTCTTGTAATAATTGAATTTTAAAAGATTTTGAATTGAAATTTTGGAAAATAATTCAAATTTTATTTGATTTTGAATTGAAATTTCGGAAAATAATTGAATTTTAATTGAAATTTTGATAATAATTAATTTTGAATGGAAATTGTGGATAATTATTGAATTTTAATTGATTTTGAATTGAAATTTTGGGTAATAATTGAATTTTATTTGATTTTAAATTGAAAATTTTGAAAATAATTGAATTTTAAAAGATTTTGAATTGAAATTTTGGGTAATAATTGAATTTTATTTGATTTTAAATTGAAAATTTTGAAAATAATTGAATTTTAATTGAAATTTTGATAATAATTAATTTTGAATGGAAATTGTGGATAATTATTGAATTTTAATTGATTTTGAATTGAAATTTTGGGTAATAATTGAATTTTATTTGATTTTAAATTGAAAATTTTGAAAATAATTGAATTTTAAAAGATTTTGAATTGAAATTTTGGAAAATAATTGAATTTTAAAAGATTTTAAATTGAAATTTTGGAAAATAATTGAATTTCAATTGAAATGTTGGATAATAATTTAATTTTAGTTGATTTTTGATTGAAAATTTTGATAATAATTAATTTTGAATTCAAATTTTTGAGAATAATGAAATTTTATTTGATTTTAAATTTGGGTAATAATTGAATTTTATTTGATTTTAAATAGAAATTTTAGAAAATAATCGAATTTTATTTCATTTTAAATTGAAAACTTGGTAAATAATTAAATTTTAAATTGAAAATTTTTGATATTTATTGGATATTTAATTGATTTTTAATTAAAATTTCGGGTAATAATTGAATTTTAGTTTATTTTGAATTGAAATTTTTTAAAAAATAATTCAATTTTATTGTGAGATTTTAATTTTTAAATTATAAACAATTGTTAAATTTCATAAAAATTTGAATTGAAAAATAATTTTAATATAATTGAATTTGTAATGTATTTCATTAAAATTATTAAAAATAATTAATTTAGTGAAAAATCATTTTAGTTCAAAATTTGTTAAATAATTAAATTGAAGAAGATCTGAAAAAGATCTACATTTTATACTTAAAAAAAAATGTATTTTATTTACATTTTTTTTTCAAATGTAAAAAAAAATGTCGCATTTTATTAAAATAAGTCAATAAAAGTCGTATTTTTGAAAAAAAAAGTCGGAAAAAGTCGTATAAACCGAGGCCTGTAAACATATATAATTTTCATTATTATCATTTAATATGTAATAATATTCTAATAATTTAAATTATTATTGATAATATTAATTTTTAATTTCTTTATAACAAACAATTAAATATTCAATTTGGCGCTCTTGCGCGTGTTTAATTTTACTAATTTAGAAATAATTAATATATATATATATATAAATTTTGTAGGGATTATAAAATTGAGGAAAAATATCGATACTCACTCGAACAAGTTCTTTTCGTTGAAGTTCATTTTCATAAAGAATTTTTTTAATTGAAAATGTAATACTATTACGCGTTGATATATGATTATAATTTTCTGTTATTATTTTATTTTTCTCATCTTCATGAATATTACAGGAATTTTGGATATTTTCCTTTTTTTCCAAATCATTGATATCGTCATAGGAAAATGTTGAATTTGGACCAATTGTCACTTGATTTTGATTTCCCAATGAGACGCGTTTTGCTTTTTGTAAAACGGAAATTTTTAACGATTCAAATTCCGAGGCAACATCAGAGGAATTCAATTTTTTCTGTGAATAATTAAAAAATTAAAAATTCTCTTTTTTAAAATTAATCTCATTTAATTTAATTAAAATTATTAATATTAATATTTAATAAATAAAATATACAATAAATAATAAAATAAACAACATTTTTTAAAATTATAATAATTTAATTTAATTAATTTAACATAATTTAATTTAACAACATTTTTTTAAAATTATAATAATTTAATTTATTATAATTTTAAAAAATGTTGTTTATTTTATTATTTATTGTATATTTTATTTATTATATATTTTACTTTTATAATAATAAATTATTATTATTATTTTTATTAGTTTATTTAATTTTTTAATTTAATTTAATTTATTTTTTAATTTTCATTAAATTACTAATTAAATAATTAATTTTTTTAAATTATTGAGATTTAATTTTTTTTTTTAAATTAATTATTTAATTAGTAATTTAATGAAAAATTAACAAATAAATAAAATTAAATTAAAAAATTAAATAAACTAATAAAAATAATAATAATTTAATTTATTATTATTATTATTATTGCAATGTTTTATTATTATTATTATTATTATTATTACCATAATATTTAGTTTAAATTAATATTAATTTAATATAAATAAATAAATAAAAAAAATATCTTTTAATACGTAAAAAAAATACGATAATAAAAAACATTTAGAATATTTCCAAAAATTTACAAAATTTTAAAATAATAATTCAAATTCGCTTTAATAAATACGAGAAAAATGTAAACCTAAATAAATTTTACAATTTTTTTTGATACACACTTTAATTTTACGTTTTTTTTTTTTGTTTTTTTTTTTTAGGAAAGAAAGAAAAAGAAAATATTTTCTGTAAACAAATAAAATTTCATTTTGAGGTTAGATTTTACGAAAATTCTTTTTAGATATTTTTCATATACGTATAAATTACTTAAAATTATATAACGATAAAAAAATACTAAAAAAAATTGTTTCAATTTTACGAAAAAGGAAGGAAAAAACATTTTAAAAAAAAAATTGAGGTTATGCTCGTAAAAATATAGGAAAAAGAACAATATATAAACTCACCCCTTCCTGGGAATTATTAACGATATTTGGCATTTTTTGGTTTCTATTTTTCAAAACAATTCAAATCAATATATATATATATATACACCTAAATAAAATGAAAATAAATGAACATCAATCAAACATAAATGTTAATTTTTTAATTATTAAGCAAAAATTTTGTGTCAACAACATTCGACGACATTTTGTATAAATTTCTGCGTGGATTTTTTCCCTTATCGAAAATTAACTATATTCTAATTGGCTTATAATTTAGAAATTTCCGCGAGAAACAGAATCAACCAATGAATGTTTTCGATAGATTTTATGCTCCAATTACTTTTGAATTCTATTGGATTCAGCAAATCAGAGAAGCAATTTTGGAACACTTTCCAGAAACAACCAATAACAGTTGATGTTTGCATTTCCCCTTCCTAAATATTAAAAAAAAACAAAAAAAAACCCTATGAACGGTGCATAAACCAGTATTTTCCTGTCAAGACCTGCAAAAGTCAAATAATAACAATAATATAACAGTTTTAATAAAATGCATTGACATTTAAAAAAAAATAAATAATAGTTTTGATTATTTATTTTTTGTTCAGTGAAATTGAAATTTTTCTTTCTTTATTATAGTATATAAATACGAAAAAAAACATCTCTATTAATTTTGTTTTATTCGTGAATTTCTTTTTAAAAAAAGTTATAAAAAAAAAATTTTGCGTTTAATCAAAAACAGTGGAAAAAATTTTTTTTTTCGAAATATGAAAGAAAGAAACTTGTAAATAAAAAATGTAAGTAGAAAAATTTGGTAAATTTTTATTTTTAAAACTATATTTAAGCATTTGTAAAATATAATAAATTGGGAAATTTGTTTTTTAAAATTATATTTAACACATTTTTATAAAAATTTGATATATATTATTTTTTTGTTCAATCGTTCAATGAAAAAATATTCTTTATTGCGCATTGTTTTGATTCGTCAAACATAACCTCAAAAAAAAAAAAAACTCGAATTATTTTTTTAAACAAAAATAATTAAGAAAAAAGTAATTATTTTTCAGTTAATTTGCTTTCAATTACAAAAAAAAATTATTAATTTTTGTAAATTTCGTTACTTTTTATTATAATAATTTATATTAATAATTAAAAAAAATTTTTTTTAGTAGAGACAGACGTTAAATAGAAAAATAATGCGTATTTAATATTAATATTTAATAATAATAATAATAATAATAATAATAATACCTAATAATAATAATAATACCTAATAATAATAATAATAGTAAAAAATAAAAAATATTGCGAAATGTTTTGATTCGTCAAACATAACCTAAAAAAAAAAAAAAAAAAAAAGAATTATTTTTTTAAACAAAAATAATTAAGAAAAAAGTAATTATTTTTCAGTTAATTTGCTTTCAATTACAAAAAAAAATTATTAATTTTTGTAAATTTCGTTACTTTTTATTATAATAATTTATATTAATAATTAAAAAAAATTTTTTTTAGTAGAGACAGACGTTAAATAGAAAAATAATGCGTATTTAATATTAATATTTAATAATAATAATAATAATAATAATAATAATAATACCTAATAATAATAATAATACCTAATAATAATAATAATAATAATAATAGTAAAAAATAAAAAATATTGCGAAATGTTTTGATTCGTCAAACATAACCTCAAAAAAAATAATTATTTTTTTAAACAAAAAAATACGGAGAAAAATTTAATTATTTTCAAAAAAAAATTTTTTTCATTTTAAAAATGTTTTTTCGTCATAAATAATCTCAAAAAAAAAGAATTATTTTTTTTAACAAAAAATAAAGAGAAAAATTTCATTATTTTTCTATTAATTTGCTTTCATTTTTTTTTTTTAAATTATTAATTTTTGTAAATTTCTTTATTTTCATTATATATTTTAATTAATAATAAAATAAATTCGTATTTAATATTAATGTTTAATAATGATAATAATAATGATAATAATAATAATAATAATAATTATTATTATATTATTATTATTATTATAAAGAAAAAAAAAATGGAAAAAATTTTTTTTACTAAAAATTTATAATTTTTTTTCAGAATTTCATTTAATGAAACAAAGAAAACAACAACAACAAATGTTCTTCCCTTAAAAAATAATTCGAAAAAGAAGAAATAGAAAAAAAAAATTAATTATAAAATGTATAAAAAATTAAGAAAAATAGTTTCTAATGAAGAAAAAATGAACAGAAAAAATGATGAAGATGATAATGACGATGACAATGATGATGACAATGATGATGACGATGATGATGATGATTTAGAAAAACCACGTCGAAGTTCACTTCACGTTAATCTTTCATATCTCACAAATATAACGACAAATTCACAAATAAGTCAAAAATCATTTGAAAAATCATTAAAAAATAATTCATCATCATCATTCATTTTAAATAATGATAATGAATTAAAAAAACAAAATGAAAAATCCCAAAGAATATTACCACGTATAATAAGTATTGAAAATTGTGGTAAAAAAAAAATAAATAATGATAATGAAGAAAATTTTTCAAAAGATCAATTACTTAATGAAAATTGTTTAAAATTACGTGATGAAATTTTACGTAAAACAAAAGAATTATATAAAACAAAAAATAATGATGATAATAATGACAATAGTGAAAATTGTGAATTAATAAAAAAAACTGAAAAAGTTTTTAATAATGAAAAAAAAATGAAAAATGAAAAATCACCAACTGTTAAAATTTTACTTGGCAATGATGAAGAATTAATAATGTCAGGTGAAAAAAATAAAAAATTAATTTCACTTAATATTATGAATAATAGTTCAATGGAAAAAATTGAAACTCCACGTAGTTCAAAAATATCATTAAAATTATTAAAAAATAATAAACAATTATCACGAAAACGTTTATTTATTGATGATAATGAAAATAATTCACAATTAAAAATTAATGAAATAAATATTGATGAAATACCATTAAAATTATCAAGTCCAATATTAAGTGGTACATGTAAAAAACGTTCGAAATTTTTAATTGATAAAAATTTTTCCAATTTACCATTAATTACATCATCAATGATTGATAATAATAATGATAATAAAAATTCTAATTCAATAATGATGGATATGACAACAATTGAAAATTTATTGCCAATAGTGACAAAAGAAAATATTGACGATACACCAAAATTATCGCAGGACAAAAGAATTATTTCCATGGAATTAACGGAAGTTAAGGGTAAAATTTTATCAACACCTTGGCAAATAAATCGAAATAATAATGAAAATAATGATAATGATGATGATTTAAGTTTTGGTACAGCGAGAACATCACTTAATGTTAATACATCATTGGATCAAAATGAAATTAATACAAAAAAACGTTTTCGTTTATCCCAAAATAATGAGAATTTTGATGATAAAAAATTGAAAAAATTATTTAATATAAATTATGAGAATTCAGTGGAAATTATTGGTGAAAATAATGAATTTTTAAATAAAAATTCTGAAATTGAGAAAAATAAGAAAATAAAGAAAAAATCGATGAATTTTAATAAAACATTGGAAATTGAAGAAAATGAATCATTAGAAGAGGATAAAAATTCAATGATTGAGAAAAAAAGGAGAAATTTAATAGAAAATAAAGAAATGAAGAAAAAATCAACGAATTTTGATAAAACATTGGAAATAGAAGAAAATGAATCATTAAATAAAAATTCAGGGATTGAGAAAAAAAGGAGAAATTTAATAGAAAATAAAGAAATGAAGAAAAAATCAACGAATTTTGATAAAACATTGGAAATAGAAGAAAATAATGAATCATTAGGGGAGAATAAAAATTCAGGGATTGAGAGAAAAAGGGGAAAATTAATTGAAGAAATTAATAGTGGAAAGAGAAAATTAAGAAATATTGATAAAACATTAGAAATTATTGAATTAGAAGATAAAGGCGAAGAAGAAGAAAAAGAAGAAAATTTATTGTCAAATGAGAAAAGAAGAAGCAAAAGAAAATCGGGAAATTTAATTGAAATTGGTGAAACAAGTCGCGTTGAAGGTACACCATTTCCTGTGAGTCGTTCATTTATGTGGAAATCGCAAATTAAACAAAATACAATTGCATCAAATTCACAGTTAAATAAAAATAATTCATTTGGCGATAATTTTGAATCAAAACAAAGAAAACAATCAAAAGAGAGGTGAGTTTTTTTTTTCTTTTTTAATTTACAATTTTTATGAAAATAAAATATTATTTTCCAAAAATTTAATTGAAAAAAATAATTAATTTTTCCTTTTCACAGACATCCAGCTTTAGATAGTTCAGATTCTGATGTGGAATCAAAAAAAATAAATACATCACATGAAATGTCCTCGTTACGTGTAACAAGTGAAACAAGTACAAAAACAAATGAAACATTAAATAATTCAAATTTAATGGGGAAAAAAAAATTATATCCACTACGTGGTCAATCGGATTTATTTTCAATGAGTCCAATAAATACACCGCCGAAAAAAGTGAAAATAATTCCAAGACGCAAGAAAAATGTGAAATGGCAAAAACTTAAAGAGGCACAACGTACGCAAAGAATTCAAAGAATGAAAATTAATGAAACTGATACTACAACCGAATCGGATAATAATGATGATGAGGATGAGGATGAGGATTTGCAACAGGAGAAAGAAGAGAAAATTATTAAGAGTCAAAAAGAAAAACGAGAGAGAAAAAAAAGAAAAGTATTGAAGAAAAAAATTGTTATTAAACCATTATTAACGAATTCAAAATCAGAGAAATTGGTTAATAAAAGAACACAAACTGTAATTGATGAAGATGAAAAACAACAGCAATTACAGTCGGATAGTCGAAGAAGTTCGTTAACGGATTTTGAACTTGTTGAGGAGGTGCGAACGAAAAAACCCACAAAACGATTTGTTATTGTTACAACTGGTTTTTCTAATTGGTAATTTTATTTTTTTTTTTTGACAATTTTATTTTTATTGGAAATTTTTGTTATTTTGGTAAATTTTACAAATTTTTTACTAATCGATTAATTTCTAAAATCCATTTAGGGAAAATAATAAATTTTTGTACGAAATTTCATTTTTAGAAAAAAAAATTTTTCTTTGTAATTGAAAGGGGGTTTTTTTTTTTTTTTTTTTATTTGAAAATGTTGGCAATTTATTTTTATAATTTATTTTTTTTTTTTTTTGCATTACAGTGACAAGAAGAGAGTGAAAACAATTGTGAAAAAATTGGGCAAAGCGGAAATTGAAACAAATGTTTCACGTAAAACAACACACGTTATTAGCACTGGTGTGCGTACAATTAATTTATTAAAAGGAATTCTTCGTGGTTGTTGGCTAGTGAGTTTAGAATGGATTCTAAAATCAAATGATGCAGGAAAATGGCTGAATCCTGAACAATTTGAATTGGCTCATTTCTCGGAATCCGTTAAGGTAAGAAGAAGAGGAAGAAAGAAAAATTTTCACTTTTTCTGCACAGTAAAAAAAAAGAAGTTAACAAAAAATAGAAAAATTAACAAAAAAAATAGAAAAATTAATTAAAAATAGAAAAATTAGAAAAAAATTAATAAAAAATCAGAAAAACTATCAAAATAATTAATAAAAAGGTAGAAAAATTAACAATCCAAATTAATTAATAAATAAAAAGAAAAATTAATAAATAGAAGTAGAAAAATTAACAAAAAATAGAAAAATTAACAAAAGAGTAGAAAAATTAACAAAATTAAAAAAATTAATAAAAAGAAGTAGAAAAATTAAATAAAGAGTAGAAAAATTAACAAAAAATAGAAAAATTAATTAAAAATAGAAAAATTAGAAAAAAATTAATAAAAAATCAGAAAAATTATCAAAACAATTAATAAAAAGATGTAGAAAAATTAACAAACCAAATTAATTAATAAAGAATAGAAAAAGTAATTGAAATAAAAAAATTAATAAAAAAAGTAGAAAAGTTAATAAAAAGAAGTAGAAAAATTAACAAAAAATAAAAAAATTTATTACAAATAGAAAAATTAATAAAAAAAGTAGAAAAATTGACAAAAAAAAGAAAAATTAATTAAAAATAGAAAAATTAGAAAAAAGATTAATAAAAATTAATAAAAAGAAGTAGAAAAATTAACAAAAAATAAATTAAAAATAGAAAAATTAGAAAAAAGATTAATAAAAATTAATAAAAAATCAAAAAAATTATTAAAACTAATAAAAAGTAGAAAAATTAACAAAATTAAGAAATTAATAAAAAGAAGTAGAAAAATTAACAAAAAATAGAAAAATTAGAAAAAAATTAATAAAAAATCGGAAAAATTATCAAAACAATTAATAAAAAGATGTAGAAAAATTAACAAACCAAATTAATTAATGAAAAATAGAAAAATTAATAAAAAGAAGTAGAAAAATTAACAAAAAATAAATTAAAAATAGAAAAATTAGAAAAAAGATTAATAAAAATTAATAAAAAATCAAAAAAATTATTAAAACTAATAAAAAATAGAAAAATTAACAAAAAATAGAAAAATTAATAAAAAAAAATAAAAAAATTAATAAAAAGAAGTAGAAAAATTAATTAAAAATAGAAAAATTAATAAAAAAAAGTAGAAAAATTAACAAAAAATAAAAAAATTAATTAAAAATAGAAAAATTAATAAAAAAAAAGTAGAAAAATTAACAAAAATTGAAAAATTAAAAAAAATAAAAAAATTAATTAAAAATAGAAAAATTAGAAAAAAGATTAATAAAAATTAATAAAAAGAAGTAGAAAAATTAACAAAAAATAGAAAAATTAAAAAAAGTGTAGAAAAATAAACAAAATTAAAAAAATTAATAAAAAGAAGTAGAAAAATTAACAAAAAATAAAAAAATTAATTAAAAAATAGAAAAATTAGAAAAAAGATTAATAAAAATTAATGAAAATTAATAAAAAATCACAAAAATTATTAAAACTAATAAAAAGTAGAAAAATTAACAAAATTAAGAAATTAATAAAAAGAAGTAGAAAAATTAACAAAAAATAGAAAAATTAGAAAAAAATTAATAAAAAATCGGAAAAATTATCAAAACAATTAATAAAAAGATGTAGAAAAATTAACAAACCAAATTAATTAATGAAAAATAGAAAAATTAATAAAAAGAAGTAGAAAAATTAACAAAAAATAAAAAAATTTATTACAAATAGAAAAATTAATAAAAAAAGTAGAAAAATTAACAAAAATAGAAAAAAAAGAAGTAGAAATTTAACCAAAAATAGAAAAATTAACAAAATTAAAAAAATTAATAAAAAGAAGTAGAAAAATTAATTATAAATAGAAAAATTAGAAAAAAAATTAATAAAAATTAATAAAAAGAAGTAGAAAAATTAACAAAAAATAAATTAAAAATAGAAAAATTAGAAAAAAGATTAATAAAAATTAATAAAAAATCAAAAAAATTATTAAAACTAATAAAAAGTAGAAAAATTAACAAAAAATAGAAAAATTAATAAAAAAAAAAAATAAAAAAATTAATAAAAAGAAGTAGAAAAATTAATTAAAAATAGAAAAATTAATAAAAAAAAGTAGAAAAATTAACAAAAAATAAAAAATTTAATTAAAAATAGAAAAATGAATAAAAAAAAGTAGAAAAATTAACAAAAATTGAAAAATTAACAAAAAATAAAAAAATTAATTAAAAATAGGAAAATTAATAAAAAAAAGTAGAAAAATTAACAAAAATAGAAAAATTAATTAAAAAATTAGAAAAATTAACAAAAATAGGAAAATTAATTAAAAAAAAAAAATTAATAACAAATCAAAAAAATTATTAAAACAACTAATAAAAAAGTAAAAAAAATTAACAAAAAATAGAAAAATAATAAAAAGAAGTAGAAAAATTAACAAAAAATAGAAAAATTAATAACAAAAGTAGAAAAATTAACAAAAGTAGAAAAATTAACAAAAATAGAAAAATTAATAAAAAGAAGTAGAAAAATTAACAAAAAATAGAATAATTGGAAAAATTAACAAAAACCTTAATAAAAAGTAGAAAAATTAACCAAAAAAAAAAAAATAAAATTAACGAAAAATTTTCTTCCCACCAGGAAAATCGACGTGAACGTCAATTATTTGGCAATGCATTCGTACCAGAATTATTTGTAAATTGTGGATTAATTTACATTGCCGCAGGTACAAATCCATCACCATTAATGTTAAAGGATTTAATAAAAACGGCTGGCGGCCGTATAACAGAAAATCCATTAGAGGCAAAAATAACAATTGGTCCACAAGGTCTTAGGGAAGTTTGGATTTTAGATTCAATAACAACTGGAAAAATTCAATCAATGAAACAATATCGTTTAAAATCATAGTGTTTAATTAATTAATTTAATTATCAAAGAGTTTTTTTTTTTTTTTTTGCATTTATTATATTTATTATCTAATTCTTTGGTACAAAAATTTGTATAGATTCATATATTATATATATATATATTTTTTTTCACTTTCTATTTTTTGTTCAAATTGTAAAAAAATTCTTCGAAACATAAATCGTTAGCGTAGCTATATTTAAAAAAAAAAAATTCGATTTGTGTTTAGTCTCTAAGAAAAAAAATTCGAGGCTAATTAAATAAAAATTTCGGTGCTATATTTAAATTTTTAAAATAAAGAAATTATTCCATAAAAATCATTAAATTAGAATTTTAGAGTATTTTTCTTTAGAAATTATTATAGACGAATTTTCATTTTTTGAATTGGAATTTGAGAATTTTTTTTTTACGAATTTTTAATTAAAATTTTTGCCAGAATTTTTATTTTACAAACAAAAATTCAAAAGCTAAAAATTTTCTTAATTAAAAATTGGTATAAATAATTATATTATAATAATTATAATAATAATTATAATTTGCTGTATTCTAATTTGGAAAATGAAAATTTGTATAAAAAAAATAATTAATTCTAAAAAAAAATACTGTAAAATAAAAAATTTAATTTTTTTTTTAATGGAAAATTCTTGCGACCGAAAATTTCGATGAATTAATTTTAAGAGTTTTAAAGTTATATTTTTATATTAGAATAATTATTAATTTTACAATTATTATTTATATATTTAAAAAAAAAATTTGATTCGAGAAGAGTAAATATATTTTAATTGAGAGTAAATATTTTTTTTTGTCCTGTAAAGGGTGACAAAAAAACGGTTATATTTTTCTTTCTAAAGGCACTCAAATTTTTTTTTCCATTCTCATTTCAAGGCATTCTTTTTAAGGCTCTTTTTTGGATTTTTGATTCTTTTTTTTTTCTTTCTTTTTCTTTTTGTATTTTTTTCTTTCCTTTTTTTTCCCCTTTTCTTTATTTCTTTACGATTTTTTTTGCAACTTTTCTCTCTTTTTTTTTTGCTTCATTTCAGAATTATAAATTTGGAGGCGAAATTAAAAAAAAAAAAAATTCTCTTCATTCCTCAGGCGATGGTCGATAAATAGAGACGAGGCACAATACTGCAATAATCAATTCGGCGGTGAGTAGAACAATTTGAATACTGCATAATATAACTTCCAATCTTAATGTATAATGTTGCCATAATAAAAAATAAAGTGTAACAAATGAACTTGGAACTGTTAATGCAATTGCAAGAAGAAATAAAAGGCCGCGTTCCATTAAATTTCCCTTACGGCCAAGATAAATGCGTCCAGCTTCAGTGCTCAATAAAAATAATAGCAATGCAAATTCAATTAATAATTTATTAGTGCCTGGCGATGGTAAATTTGCTGCTTTATAAATTCCCATACAAAGTTCACACGTTGCAAACATACCAAAGTAAAATGAATTCAAATACATTAGAATTTCGTAAGTTAATGGCGTTGAAATTGCAGACGGCATTGTTTTTTTTGGCGTTGATTTTTCTTTCTAAAAAAAAAAGAATATTTTATTCTCAAAAAGAAATATTTTATTCTAAAAAAGTAATTTTTTATTTACCCAAACAAATTTTTTTGCGATAATTTTTATTTAACCAAATTTTTATTTAGCCAAATTTTTAATTTGAATCTTAATTTTAATTAAGCCAAAATAAATTTAACCGAGTTTTTATTAAGCAAAATTTTGGCTTAATAAAAATTATTTCAAAAAAAAATTGTTGGCTAAATAAAAGTCTAAATTAAAATTTAGTTTAAAAGAAATTTTAATAAGGCCAAAATAAATTTAACCGAGTTTTTATTAAGCAAAATTTTGGCTTAATTAAAATTATTTTCAAAAAAAATTGTTGGCTAAATAAATAAAAGTCTAAATTAAAATTTGGTTTAAAAGAAATTTTAATTAAGCCAAAATAAATTTAACCGATTTTTTATTAAGCAAAATTTTGGCTTAATAAAAATTATTTTCAACAAAAAATTGTTGGCTAAATAAATAAAATTCTAAATTAAAATTTGGTTTAAAAGAAATTTTAATTAAGCCAAAAATGTTTATTTAACCGAGTTTTTTTAAGCAAAATTTTGGCTTAATAAAAATTATTTTCAAAAAAAATTGTTGGCTAAATAAATAGAAGTCTAAATTAAATTTTTGGTTTAAAAGAAATTTTAATTAAGCCAAAAATGTTTATTACTAAGACAAATTTGGCTAAATCAAAATTTGTCTCAGTAAAAAATTTCGCTAAATAAAAAATCGGTTAAATAAACATTTTTGGCTTCATTAAAATTATTATTTAAAAAAAAAATTTGTTGACTAAATAAATTTAAAATTCTAAATAAAAATTTGGCTTAAAAAAAATTGTCGGCTAAATAAAAATTGTAATAAATAAAAATTTGGCTATATGAAAATTACAGAAAATAAAAAATCGGTTTAATATAAATTATCACAAAGTAAAAATTTGGTTAAATAAAAATTATATGAAATGAAAATTATAAAAAATTGGTTGGCTAAATAAACAAAAATTTGGTCAAATATAAATTATATTAAATATAAAAATTCGGTTAAATAAAAATTTACTTGAAAATTTCGTTAGCTAAATAAAAATTTGGCTTAATGAAAATTCGGCTAACATAAAAATTAAATTTCAAAAAAAAATTTTGTTAAATAAAAATTACAGGAAAAAAAAATTCGGCTAAATAAAAAATTGTTGGAATAATTGAAAATTTTCCTAAATTAAAAATTCGGTTAAATAAAAATTTTAGCTTAATAAAAATAATATTTAAAAAAAATGTTGGGTTAATGAATAAAATTCGAAATAAAAATTCGGTTAATTAACAATTATCGTAAAAAATTTGTTGGCTAAATAAAAATTTGGTTAAATAAAAATTACAGAAAATAAAAATTCGGTTTAATATAAATTAGACAAAGTAAAAATTCGGTTAAATAAAAAATGATAAAAAATTTGTTTGCTAAATAAATAAAATTCAGTTAAATATAAATTATAATAAATAAAAATTTGGTTAATTTGAAATTATCGTAAAAAATTTGTTGGCTAAATAAAAATTATCGTAAAAAATTTGTCAGCTAAATAAAAATTATACTAAATAAAAATTCGGTTAAATAAAAATTTTATTATTAATAAAAAAGTAAATGACTAAATAAAAAAATTTGGCTTAATGTAAAATTTACTTTTGAATTTTTTCGGCTTAAAAATTGTACTAAATAAAAATTCGGCTAAATGCAAATTTTTTAGGTAAATAAAAATTATATTAAATGAAAATTTGGCTAAATCGAATTTTGTCTTAGTAAAAATTTTGCTAAATAAAAACTCGGTTAAATAAAAATTTTAGCTTAATAAAAATAATATTTAAAAAAAATATTGGCTAAATGAATAAAATTCGAAATAAAAATTCGGTTAAATATAAATTATATTAAATAAAAATTTGGTTAATTAAAAATTATCGTAAAAAATTTGTTTGCTAAATAAAAATTATACCAAATACAATTTTGGTTAAATAAAAATTATAGAAAATAAAAATTCTGTTTAATATAAATTAGACCATGTAAAAATTCGGTTAAATAAAAATTATAAAAAATTTGTTGGCTAAATAAATAAAAATTCGGGGATATATTAATTATATTAAATAAAAATTTAGTTAATTAAAAATTATCGTAAAAAATTTGTTGGCTAAATAAAAATTTGGTTAAATAAAAATTATCGTAAAAAATTTGTTGGCTAAATAAAAATTTGGTTAAATTAAAATTATCGTAAAAATTTTTTTTAGCTAAATAAAAATTATACTAAATAAAAATTCGGTTAAATAAAAATTATAATAAATAGAAATTATTTAAAAAAAATTTATTGGCTAAATAAAAATTATAGTACATAAAAATTCGGTTAAATAAAAAATTCTAATAAAATAATAATAAATTGTATTAATTAATTGTAAATAAATAAATTATTTTACAAATAAAATTTGTTAAAAAAAACTTTAAATGCATTTTTAGGTTAGAATTAGCGTACTCTAATAATAAATTTTTATAAATATAAAACAAAAAACCCTAACAATTGAAAAAAAAAACAAAATATCAATTATAATTATTTTAGAAATTCTATATAAAAATGTGTTTATTTATATATACAAAAATATCGTTACCTAGACTACTGTATTCTTCCGATTCTTCAAAATTTTCTTTCACAAAACAATTTTCACTTTCATTATAATTATATATCTAAATTAAAACATTTTTTTTCATTTTCTTTTTCATTAATTGAAAAAGCGGACTAAAAACTGAAAAAAAGCTGTGTTCTATTTTAAACTTGCCTTTTTGGCTCTTAAAATAAATTAACCCGCGTTTGTTTTGTTTTTCAGAATATAAAAAAAAAAGAAAACAATTCTGTTTTGTCAATTTTTCCTTCGATATTTAGTTTTTAGTTCCAATTTCTCTCACTTCAAAATTAAAGTAACATTCATTTATAATATAAATTTTCAAATAAAATATATATTCTGATTGGTTGAAAGAAATTATATTTAAAAACTAATCCACCAATCAACGGCGTGTATGAGAGATGAAGAGTGAAAATTAGCGATTCATCCCTGGCGCGATTTAAGGCAATTTGTAGAATCACCTTGAGAAAATTGCATTAATGTGAATGTGACTTTAAGGGGTTGAAACGCTCAATAAGCGGACGAGACGCCAGTGTCTGCCAAAGTGTCAGGTGTCAGTCAGTCAGTCACAGTCTATGTCAGTCGTGTAAAACTACGTTTTTATCAGTGTGTTCATATATTAGTAAAAAGAAAAAAAAAGAGTAAAAGAGAGAAAAAGAAAAAAAAGAAACCCCCATCGCCCCCCCAAAAACCCTCTGAACAAAATAATATCAACAATTGTTTTTGATTCAATTCTTATTCAAGGCAAATTTTATCGTGAAAAAAAAGAAGAAAATATAAAAGAAAGTATCCATTTTTTTTTCGCATATATATATATATATATATATATATATATAGTTTTGATCAGTGTTGAAGTTTAGAGAGAGAAAAAAAAGCCCCCCACCCCTTTGAAACAAAAAAAAAATTAAAATGTCCGACAAGAAAGGTAACTATAAGAGCAAAATTATATTTTAATTTCGCGTTGCGTCACAATAATATAAACGTGATTTAGGGAGTAAATTCTTTTTTATCACAGCGAGTTATTTTTTTTTTTCCCGTGTTTTTATTGAAAATCGTGATGAGAATTTTTTGCTGATTTAATTTTTACTTGTCAAAGAAAAAATATTTCGTTTACTTTTTTTTCATTGTCCTGGGAAAAATGAAGTGTTTTGTGGTGTGTGTGCGCGAATTAATTAATAATGTTAATTGAAATGCGAATAATCGCGTTCATCTTTTTTTTTTTTCATTATTTTGATTATTCGAGAAATTTTTAGAGGCGTTTTTCGTGTTTTTAGAATCGTTTAGTGATAAATTATTTTTTTTTTTTGGAATGAGAAAAAGAAAAAGAAAGAGTGAGAGAGAGGGAGAGAGAGGAAGAATGAAAATAATGAATTTCGTCCTAGTGACAGATTAATCAATACGGTTCCTCTCTTCTCTCTCTCTCTGTCTCTCTTCTCGTGTGAGTGTTTATGGGAAATACAAAATGGCCACCGTTTCAAGTGTACCAAACTCTAGTCCTTTGGAGCTTTCGCTTTTTCTCATACGATGATAGAAAAAAAAAAAAAAAAAAAATTACACAATTTACCTGTCAAAAAATAATAACGGATAAAAAAAAATTGAATAGATTATTTTTTTTAAAAAAACAGTGGCGTAGGAATAAATTTTTGTTTTTATCAATATTTCTCGCGACATTTTAGACGAAAAAAAAAAAAAAAAAAAAACAATTGTCAATTAATTTGAAGAATTGTTTCGCAATTATTGACGTTTCTTTTCTTTTTTTTTTGTTCTTTTCGTTAAAATTACTTGAATTTTTTTTTTTAAATAACGGAAATTTATTTTTTAATGAAAAAATTAAAATTTGTTTTACAAAAAAATTGAAAAAGAAAATTTTTTTTTTTGACATTTAAATTAAATATTTAAATTTTAGAAAAAAATTATTTATTTTGAGAAAATTAATTATTTAGCGAAATTTAATTAAATATTTCGAAATTTATAAAAATGATAATAATAATAATAATAATAATAAAAGGCACTGCTCGTATATATGTAAATAAATAAATAAAATATAAACAAATAATATTTTTCTAAAAAAAAAATATTAATTCAAATTAAATATTTAACTTTATAAAAAAAAATATTAAAAAAAAGAAATTAATTTAATTTTTAAAATTATTTGAAGAAATTTATTAAATTAAATAATTAAATATAAAAAAAATTATTTATTTATTTTGAGAGAAAATTAATTATTTAGAGAAATAAATTAAATTAAATATTCAAAATTTAAAAAAATTTATTATTTTGGCTTAATTAAAATTATTTTCAAAAAAAAAAAAATTGTTGCCTAAATAAATAAAAGTCTAAATTAAAATTTGGTTTAAAAGAAATTTTAATTAAGCCAAAAATGTTTATTTAACCGAGTTTTTATTAAGCAAAATTTTGGCTTAATAAAAATTATTTTCAAAAAAAATTGTTGGCTAAATAAATAAAAGTCTAAATTAAAATTTGTTATAAAAGAAATTTTAATTAAGCCAAAATAAATTTAACCGATTTTTTATTAAGCAAAATTGTTGGGTTAATTAAAATTATTTTCAAAAAAAAATTGTTGCCTAAATAAATAAAATTCTAAATTAAAATTTGATATAAAAGAAATTTTAATTACGACAAAATAAATTTAACCGAGTTTTTATTTAACAAAATTTTTTACTAAGACAAATTTGGCTAAATCAAAATTTGTCTCAGTAAAAAATTTCGCTAAATAAAAAATCGGTTAAATAAACATTTTTGGCTTCATTAAAATTATTATTAAAAAAAAAAAATTGTTGACTAAATAAATTGAAAATTATTCTAAATAAAAATTTGGCTTAAAAAAATTGTCGGCTAAATAAAAATTTTGTTAAATGAAAATTATACGAAATGAAAATCATAAAAAAAATTGGTTGGCTAAATAAACAAAAATTCGGTTAAATATAAATTATATTAAATATAAATATTCTGTTAAACAAAAAATTTACTTGAAAATTTCGTTAGTTAAATAAAAAATTGACTTAATGAAAATTTGGCTAACATAAAAATTAAATTACAAAAAAAAAATTTAGTTGAATAAAAATTACACTAAATAAAAATTCGGCTAAATAAAAAATGTGGCTTAATATAAAATTTACTTGAGAATTTTTTTGGCTTAATAAAAATTGTACTAAATAAAAATTCGGTAAAAAAATTAAAAATTTGGCTAAATCGAATTTTGTCTTAGTAAAAATTTTGCTAAATAAAAACTCGGTTAAATAAAAATTTTAGCTTAATAAAAATAATATTAAAAAAAATTTTTTTGGCTAAATGAATAAAATTCGAAATAAAAATTTGGTTAAATATAAATTATAAAAAATAAAAATTCGGTTAATTAACAATTATCGTAAAAAATTTGTTGGCTGAATATAAATTTGGAGAAATTTATTAAATTAAATAATTAAATATAAAAAAAATTATTTATTTATTTTGAGAGGAAATTAATTATTTAGAGAAATTAATTAAATTAAATATTCAAAAATTTTTAAAAATCTATTATTTTTAAATATTATTATTAATTATAAATTTAGAAAAAAATAATTTTTGTTTTCTTTTTTAATTTAAATTAAATATTTAAATATAAAAAAAAATAAAATACAAATTTTCGAAAAAAAAGTACAAGCGAAAAAGGATTAAAGTTTTTTTGGTACAAAAAAAAAAGTTTCTAAACGATGATACGTGGGTTTAAAAAAAAAATAAAATGAAAAATCCCCCTTTTTTTTGCATAAAAAATAGAAATTAAAAATTTTTAATTTGGCAAAAAAAAAAAAACGATGTAAAAAGAGAAAAAAAAGAGCAATGAATATCACTATAATTTTTTTTTTTTTTTTTTTGTAATTTATCGCTTTCCCTTTTTTCCATGCATGATTTTTTATCTTTAGTTGCGAACGTAAGGTCGTCTTGACCTCATATATAATTAATAAAAATAAAAAAAAAAAAAAAAAATTTAGTAAAAAAAAAGAAAAATGAAAAAAATAAAAAATTTGTAAAAAAAACAAGTGTCAACCAAAAATTGTTTTAATTTTAGAAGATTAAAAAGAAATAATTTTTTTTTTTTTCAAGAAAAATTGAAACGAAAATTTTGAATTTTATTAAAATTTAGTCTCTTTTAATTAAAATTAATAATTTAATATAAAAAATTTTTATTTAAAAATTTTTTTTAATTTAATAAAAAATATTATTAATTTTAACGAGTTATTTTGTTATAATTATTTAATTATAATGAGAAAAAATTAATAAAATTATAAAATATAATATATAATAATAAAAATAAATTATAATAAAAAATATTAATAATAATAATAATAACAATAATAATAATAAAAATAACAAAAATTAGTATTTAAAAATTAAAAATTTCGATTTCAAAAAATATAGAAAAAAAAAATTGAAATAGAAATAAAAGTTTTCAATTTTTTAAAATAAAAATTTATATCAGTTTCGAAATATTTTTTGGTTGGAAAAATCTCTTGTTTTTTTTTCTTATTTTTTTTATTTTTTTTTATTTAACGTCCGTTCGGTGATTTTTCTCCCTCCCCCATTGAAAATCCGCAAATCTCTGGAAGCCAATTTATAAATTTATTTATATAGCGAAAATTAATTTTTTTTTTTTATTAAGAATATTGCCTCCATATAAAACGACAATTCTCTAAAAAAAAAAAAAAAAAGAATATATTTCCAAAATAAAAAAATTTCTCATTTCATTTAATTTGAATAAATTGTTCACAATTTAAAGGGAAAAAAAAATATTTTTATTTACATTTGGAAAAATTGAAATTTCTCGAAAAAAAAAAAAATTTCTGAAGGAAATAAAAAAGAAAAATTAAAAAAAAAAAATTAGAGAATTGTTTTTTTTTTGCGTGTATATAAATTTTTGAATTTTTATTATTGAATCTGTATACACGAAGTCAAAAGCAAAAAAAAATAAAATATATTTTTTCTAAATACATAATTTTTTAATTAAAAAAAAAAAAAAGAAAAGAACAATTTAACGGAAGAAATTCTCAAAAAAATTAATTTCAAAATTCAATAAACAAGAATGAAACTTTCAGTTTTTAAAGTTTATGTATTAAAAAAATATTTTTATATTCAAACAAATTTTTTAAATTAATTCTATTAATTGTTTAAACAATTTAATTACGATTCCAACTTTGATTTTGTTAAGGATTTAATTAATTAATTAAAAAAAAAAAAGTTCAAAAATTTTATGAAGAGAAAACAACAAATTTCAATCCATAATTTATTTTCTATAATATAAAATTGGACAATTTTTTTTATATATAATTAAAAAATTAAAAAAAAAATTTGTTGAAACTATTAACATATTAAAATAAATTATTAAATTAATTTTTTTTTTTGATGATAATTTTTTGAAAAAAAAAAAATGAAATTTACGTGTATTTGGATGACTATTTAAATGTACATTCATGACTCGACAGTCAATAAACCAGCTGTATTCAGTAAAGATTTTCCGTAGTTTTCCTCTACTCTGATCAAGAAAGGGTCAAGCAAATGCGAATACTTCTAATAAAATTTGACTCACGGACTACTCTATAAATCTGAATTAGTAAAAAATGTTTACTAATTTAAATTAGTGACTCACTTTTTGCTTTAGAATTAGTTAAATTTTACTAATTGTTAGTAAAAGTTACTAATTGTTAGTAAAAGTTACTGATTGTTAGTAAAAGTTACTAATAATTAGTAAAATTTTACTAATTGTTAGTAAAAGTTACTAATTGTTAGTAAAATTTAACTAATTGTTAGTAAACGTTACTAATTGTTAGTAAAAGTTACTAATAATTAGTAAAATTTTACTAACTGTTAGTAAAAGTTACTAATTGTTAGTAAACGTTACTAATTGTTAGTAAAAGTTACTAATAATTA